GCACATTTGCGAAGTATCTTGCCCTACCTGATCTCCATATACGCGACATTAAATAGAATCTTATTACACGAGAAGAGGTGAAGCTCGATTGGAAATATACGTGATATACGAGAATATACGAGAAATAATCGGAATGCTACGTCCGAAACACATACTAAGGATACTAAGGTCGAACACGAAAAAGTGCAGGTGTGACATCTGCTTGCGTCAGAATTGCTTCATTAGATTGTAGCGAATATATCTAACTTGAAGCCACTGTAAATAAAACAGTAGTGATCAGCATGCTGGTAGCATATGAAATAAAAAAGATTCAGGAGTAAAATTGCTTACATTTGTCGTCAGAAATGTCACTCGGAACGAACAAATGGAGTTGAGCAGGAGGCGAACACACCACAACCTTCCTCGTCAGCCTCCAGCAAAGCTCTGAGTCGTGTTCCACCACGTCGTCTCGCTACGCTGTAATCATAGTTACTAACGAACAAGTAGTATTCGGCTGGGGGCCGGCTTGGGCTCTGTTCGGCTGGGGGCCGCTCGTCTTCCGAACTGGTCGAACATTTATTAGGAAGTTTAACAGGCCAAGGGCCTATTTCTTCAGTGCCGACACTTCTATTCTATTCTAAGTTTAACAAACTGTACCAGGGCTCAGGTGGCTTTAGTAGTTAAGATCGCCTGGATTAGAGCAGCGATTTGGGGGTTCGAAACCTGGAAGTAGTCATGAAAATTCATATCAAAATTAGCTAGGTGGCCGCGTTTGCAGAAATCAGCGACAGGTGAACATGTTGCATTCCTGGTAATAAAACATTATATTGTATTGTGTTATATTATATTATATTGTGCTATATTATATTATATTATATTATATTATATTATATTATATTATATTGTACTATATTATATTATATAATACTACAAACATTGTCACAAAGCTCCAAATATTTGATTTGTTTATTGCAACAGTAAAACGGTTAAGAAACGCGCATAATTTTCAGGTCGAAAATAATGAATAAAATAATAATAATAATAATAACAGTTGTTCATTATTTACAAAGGTCGGCCCACGATCCTCACGCGGGTCAGCTCACAATCCTCATAAGGGTCGGGCTCCGATTCTCACAAGATTCGGCCCAAGACCCTCACACGTCTTGGCCCACGATACACGTGTACCTAGCTGGGGTCGGGCCATGATCCTTAATTACAAGGGTCGGGCCACATGGTCAAAGGCTCATGGTCACGACACTTGTCGAGGGTTGCGGGCTCCCACAAGTATCGGGTTCACGACACGCATACCAGTGCTTGATTAATTGGGACCATTTAATGGAAACATTTATTTGAACCATATATTTGAACAATATAACGGCACCATTTATTGGAACTATATAATGGAATCATTTACTTGAACCATATAACTGAACCATTCATTGTAACCATAAAATGGAACAATATAACGGCACCATTTATTGGAACTATATAATGGAATAACTTTTTTGAACCATATAACTGATCCATTCATTGGAACCATACAATGGAACATTTAAGGGAACCACTTATTGGAACAATATAATGGAAACATTTATTGGAACCATAAAACTGAACCATTCATTGGAACCATATAATGGAACCATACAATGGAACCATTTAAATGGAACCATTTGATGGAATCATTTAATGGAACCATTTAATGGAACCATTTAATGGAACCATTTAATGTAACGATACACCACGTCATTGCGCGGAGGTCGAAGTCTTGAGGTTTGAGTCAGGCGTTAGAATTGACAATCAGAAAAATGAATGGATGATCTTGCCCAAATAGTGACCAATTTTTTGCACGTAGCACTGATACACCCATTTACCGAGCCAAACTGGGTTAGGGTGATCCACACAAAGGCTAAATGTGCATCGCTATTTGGACAGAATATCACACATTTCTCCGAATGCAGTTGAGGCGATAGTCGCTTCCAGAAGCAGCGTATTTATTGTAAAAGATTCACCTACACGTTATACTGAACATTTATGATGCTAGAGCTTTTAATAAAATGTTAAATAAATTATTCTCGTTTAACTCGTTTTAACACCTATACTATTCATTAAATAACACTACTAGGTTTGCACTATCAATTACAGTTCAAAATAGCAAGTTGAAGGTTGAAGCAACGTCGCACTACAACATGCACAGCAAGTTGCATCAAGAGATCGCTAGAATTTTTTAGGCAAATCTAATAACAAAACAATTTCGTCGTAACTTGAATGTTGAACGTCTAACGAGCAACTGCAATTAGACGTAATTAAAGTAAACACGACGTTCTATTGAAGACATTTCTCCGGTTTTCACCCAAGCTTTTTAATCTCATGATTCCAACGTGGTCATTAATTGTTACAACGTTGTTGCTATTGCTGACATTTTTTTCCTTAACTACATCTGCCATAATTTCAAGTAATGAATTTACTCAAGCTTTTTTGCTCTCATCTTTCTTGTCAGGCGCTATTTTCAGTGCGTAACGATATGAGAGATATAGTAATTTCGTATGGCATGTTTAGTTCTTCTAAGACTACGGCTCATACATCCTAAACGTTCCTTCAAGATGCAGATAAACAACAAACTTCGTGTATTGAACAAAAATGCACAAAAGTGCATTGATTGGGAGAAAAATTTTTGAACATTAATTCCTTCCTCAGAAATGCAGCCGTGGATCAATGATGAATTGTTTGCGTTTTCTCAGCGAAAAATGTTGTAAACACATCGAATTGAATTAATTTAACAAGGAATTAATGTAAGACATCCATGTAGGGAAGGTATAACATAACTTTAACTTTTATTTACTGTATCTAACCCGTACTAGTTCGGTTAGGTTAATTGCAATAAAGTTGCATAGATATGTTTTGAAAATGATTTATTATTAAATGTTTATGAGTAAATCCCAATAGCAGAACAATAAATATTTAGAGATTTCCAATAATTTTGGCCATTGTAGCGGCTAATGTAGTGGCGCTACATTTTACTGTAGTGGTAGCGGTAGCGCCCGCTACAATCTAGTGGGTGTAGCGGTAGCGCCCGCTACATTTAGATCATGTAGCGGTAGCAGTAACAGCCGCTACATTTCAAAGTAGCGCTTCCCAGCTCTGCTCATATTAAAAATCAAGGTCCCGAGCATAGGCCGAATTATGTTAGAAATAAGAAGGCCTACAGTAAGTTGTACTCAAAGTATTACAGCATGACAGAGTCCTGACCCGAGTCTGAATAGAAAAAATTAAACCTTTCGACTAACCAGGCTTCGTTTAAGTTGGCAACGGAAGTTACTGTGACCTAACCGTAAATGTACTCTTGGTCAGGCAGAGGTATAGTAAAGATGGGGATGTCACTTAAGAATTTTTTACGTTACTAGAACCTGTGCAATAGTTGGACGATCTTAATTAGAAGTACGGTGTACTCTACAATTTTTTTCTGTTCCCATGGTAAATCTGAACACAAGTTTTAATTTCAATTGGTTTGGGAAATTTCTGACAAATCTAATAGCAATTTTCTTTGCTAATGTGTCTCTGACACAACCAATACCAGATAATTGTCTCACAGTTAGAGATAGTATTGACCAAAGATTACTCAAGTTAAATCTACAACCCTGGGTTACTGATGATTCTGAGGCAGCTTGTGACTGAAGATGCTTCTTATGTGAAGGGGCGCTTGACGGGCTTGGATGTTCCTACGAACAGCAACACCAATGCGTCGGCGTTGCTTCATTTGGAGGCTCTGAAGTCTCACTAGTATTGTATGACTGATCGCGTTGTAGGCCTCCAGAGCTGTTATCTGCTCGAGTAGGTTGACGTCGTATGTCAGCAGTCCATGGTGGATGAGCTATGCCATTAGTGGAAGCAGCTGAACAACTAGGCTGACTGCCCCAACCCTCAGTGCGCGATGGTGGCAGGACGCGGCCACATATTTTTCTTTCAAATTCGAATTTCATCTGGTCGCATTCGTCCTTCGTTAACTCCGGCATTTCTGCAAGCCATGTCAGAAAATTTTCACAAGACTTGAATTCATTAGAATCTTGACCGAACTTCTCTCTGAGATGTTCCCGTAGATCGAGGCAGAAAGTTTCCAGATCGTTCATGGCACTTTCATCTTCTTTCAGTTTTGCCTCGTCCCTCAGAAATATCATATGACGATCTATGCAAATTTGCAGGTCTTTTGCGTCCGATGATAGTCTCCGAATTAGTATGCCTCTTGAGTCTCCATTAGAATAAAGTTCAATGCGAACAATGCCACTTTCATCGATCTTAAATAAGAGACCGCCCGATATCGGAGGGAGGCCAAGCTGTCTTGATCGTATTGTAGTCAGTTCAGAGGTATCGAACTCCCTTCCACTGAGCACTGGTAAATCCTCGTACACGTTTATCCCAGTTCCATGAAGTTGCTCCCAGATATAATTCGACGCTCGTAAGTTAAAATCGACCGGAATACATGCTCCTAAATCAACAATAGTACCCGATTCAAAACCTGCCTGAAACCACACACGCCTGGACAAGACTTCCTCCAAAACTCGTGGTGTTGAGCAGCACAACTCTGCCGCTCGGAGGGCAGCGCCACAGGCAACCGCCTCGTCTTTGTTGAGCGAGTGATCCAGAGGTTTCCGCAGTGTTTGAGCAATCAGCTTTTCTACGACAGGAATACGCGTTGAGCCTCCCACCAACACAACTGTTCGAACTAGAGCCCAACTATCGGACTGGATCAATCGGTGCAACGCATTCCTGAGATGTGTGAAGAGTTTTTGGCATGATTCTTCAATTTCTTTCCTGGTAAAAGTACACATGAAGTCAACACTGTTAGATAATGAGTCTACTAGTATAGCAGACGAGGTTAAAAGAGTCAAATTGTGTTTCAACTTCTCTGTGACGGCCCTCAACCTCATAAGAGATTTAGCTGACTCTGTGAAAGTTTGCTCGCGTTCGTCTTCAAATTTTTTTATGAGGGACTTCATTATGCGCAAGTCTATGAAGTTCCCACTTACAGTGGAGCATCCAAATGCTTCCTGAACTTTAACTACTTTGTGATCAATGGAGACCACTGCGAGACTCAGAGAACCTGCACCGAAATCGACGACAGCGATGCAGTCATTATCTCTGGGGTGATGATCCCAATAGGCGATGGCGGCAGCGGTGGTCGAGTTGATCAGCGTGACGTCCTTAAGGCCGGCAATGCGGGCCGCATCAAGAGTGGCTTGTCGCTGCGCGTTGCTGAAATTTACGGGCACAGAAATGACTGAGCTTTTAACTTCGCTTCCTAAGTGATCTTCTGCTTCAGACTTCATCTTGTCGATTAGCAAAGCCGTTATTTGTTCAGGGCGCAGCTTCACGTTCTCTTTCCTGTACGCAACTTCAAAGACGGGTGAGCCATCCTCGGTTGTGGAAAATACGGGAAAGTATGGAAGTACGGTTAGGTCCTCTTCATCCAATGGACGTATTGACTGTGGATTTTGGTTATCAACATTGAAATAGTGCGACTTTCCTTGCGGAGGCATGTTGAAGTTGCTGCCGAGGATGGTCTTAATGCCATAAAAAGTGTTCTCTGGGTTGAGCGTCGCCTGGTCCCTGGCATCGCTGCCCACGAGGCTGCGGGAGTCGGTGAAGGCAACAAAACTCGGAGTGGTCTTGTCGCCGTGAGCGTTTGGCAACACCGTCACCGCTCCAGCGCGCACGCTGGCAACACAGCACTTGCCTGCGCCCAGGTCCAGCCCGATGCTAGCCGCGCCCGACATATTCCTGCAAAACAGAATCAATATAAATATGAAGCATATCAGAGGGCAGTAAAATGGGGGAATTGTGGGACACGTTCCGAAAGATTTATCAAGCAAAATAAATTAATTAGCGCTACAATCGTAATTATTTTTTTAGGTTGTTCCTCGGTGTGTAGTGGCAAACTTTTTTGTGATTGAGTGAATGATATGATATGTGAATTTTATGGTGCTAAAATAATAATATGCTGTTCCGAATGGCAATCAATTCATTGGTAATTGTGTTACGAGTTTATAAAATCGCATTTAATGCAGTGCCATGCAGTGCAAATTTTTGCGCTGCAAAGGTTTTTGCAAATAGGTGCTTCTGTCCTGAAATGAATGACAATTTACGTGAAAATGAGAGGAGCTTCTTGCTTAACATCATTATCCGTTTCATGATCATTGAGTATAGTCTAAGTTTCGTGCAGAATAATTTGTAATTGTAAAGATGTCAACGTAAAACACTAAGCTGCACTCTGTGCCCAAATTTGTCATAGAACATAAAAATAGATGTTTTAGAATATAATCAGTATATAACAGTATAAATATAACAGTATTATCGAGGTATCGAAATCGTAACAAACACAAACATGATATATATTGTGAGGTATGGGATGAATACAAAATTAGAACAGTTTCAGGAGTAACATGACTAACGTTTTTCGGGAGATGTCGCTTCAAACTGATAAATTGATCGCTTCTAACCAAAAAACCCCTGCACCAGGTGAGTTCACCACCACCTCACACGTCAGCCCGCAGATGGGCACTGATACTGGCATTCACGTTAGCACGTCGCCTCGCAACACCGCAAACATGGCTCCATGCATCATGTCACTTTGCTGCAAATTAATATGTTATTAATTTACTAGCAACATTCGTGACTGAGATGGGCGTTACCAGGCTACCTGCAAGCAACACTGCATGGTGGTAAATCACATAAAACGAGTCGTGGCACCACTTCACAAAAATTGTGCCAAAGTCAAAATAGTTAAGCAATTTGCAAGCTCTTTCCTAAAATTATGGAGCACTGCCTTGAGTGGAATACATTAAATGTTCGTAAGCTGATATACATCTGTTACCGCTGTAAGTCGCGTGCCTGCTGCGTTGTGAAAGTATCGACATCGACAGCAGTAATTTTTAAAATTCCCAAATCCAAGTTCAGCCAAAGTTAATATTTATGTCAAGCCCGGCTTGGATATCATAACTATCAACTTATTTCGTATATATTTTTTTTATATCATAGGGCTTGGATGGTTGAGAGAAGTGGACAAAAGTACAAGGAATTCTATGCAATCAATGCAATGTAGCTTTGATGTAACCGATCATTCGTCAAACGAACCATGAGGACTCAGCTGATATGTGATATTGTAAGATAGTAATTCATTCAAGAGCAGAGATTAGATAGCGGTGATAATGTGAGTCGATTGAAGGAAACAGCATCGCATTGAAGACTTTTACCGATCAATGCTAATATAGAAAATACCTTAATGTGACTATTAAACTACTTTATGTGAGTAGAAAAATATGCCAGATTTTTTACATGAATTGTATATCCCAATGAAAGACAACGAGAGAAATGTCAGCATTATGCCACCGCGAGAAACACGCTGCTTCTTAAAAAAACATGTTTGTTACAGCAAAAGAAATACTATAAACTATAACTTTAGTGGGATTATTACCAAAACAACGAAGTTATGGACAAATTTCCCAGGTTTGCCTGTCCTGGAATTGCTTACTGCTAGGGTGATCATAATGATTGTCGTTACTCACTATTATCATCTGTATTTTTGATACATATTAATCAGGCACGATATTGTATCAGGCACGTATGGTTTTGAAGAACTGTCTACTGCGCGCTTCGATGAAGCATTACCCGACCGACGGGCGGCTATGTTCTCGCCTGCTGAACTAATTTTTTATAATTATTTTGAACACTTCTGGTGTCAGAAGCACCTCCCAGCCTGGTCCGTGTTGAACTCTTGCTATGGTGTCGGGCGCTATATGACGGGCGTTAATTCAATAAATGAATCCACTGGATGTATGCATCAGTCAAAATTATTAGGTTGAATGTTATCCGGTGAAGGTATAATTACCATTAGATTAATAATTATTTATTAATTGATAATTTTGACTCATCAATGCAGATTTAATTTTCATGCTTGGATTTGAGTCTGAGAAACCGCGACCTGCATGGGATTTCAGACCTTGAGCGTTCAAACCTAAACACAGAAGACAAAATATTACCTGAAGAAATTATGTGTCAAATTCAATAGTCCATGAAAATGAATAACGCTGTCGGTAAGCTTGGCCAAAGTGTCAGTTATGGTTAAAATAATTATCGTAATTGACTGTGGAATCCTTGTGCTCAGATTGAGTGCATTAGATTGGATGTTTTGCTATCTTTATAATAATTGGGACTATAATAACAAAGACGTTAGTGGTAAAGGTCATTAAAGAATTCTTATGAGTTTCATGCATAAAACTTAGGCTAACTTTAAAATACGAGCGTTTCTTTGTAGGTTGGAAATTTTGAATTTTGTGCGTATAGTTTAGTTTTGAACAAAATTCTTTGGGCACTTGAGAAACGTTTGATATTAATAGGACCCTGATATAGCATTGCATTTTTTTGTTATTTAGATTCAGGAAGTGATTTTTTTTGTGCAGGCTCCCTTAGTAATTGATATATATAAGCAGTTTTCTGCACAATCATACAATGTGTTATTAAGTGGTATTGCTACGCCTGTTGCATAACATCCGTGGAGGAGGGTGGTTTCTTTCCGACGTCTTTCTGCCTCTGCGCATCTTACCAGCGCAACCTTTTCAATCAGCGACATCAACAATATAATATTTATCGAGAAATGATAACTTCCAACCTACGCTCCGTTTCATTCTGCACATTTCAGCGCTCTTGAAAATAGAAATTCAATAACTTCATTCCTCCATTTTGGGAAAATATTCTTCAAGCAGTAATTGTCGGATAATTTCAGAGTTGGATGGAAGCGATCTTTATTTTTTATACTAGAAATATCACAGAGTATAAGAGATTATCCACAAAAAATAATTCTACATGAAATTCATTGTGCTTGAGCAAAACTTCCCATCGCCAGACAGTAGCGTTACTCAGCAGCCGAGCTTTGTAAGAAGAAGGAACCTCATTGCGGTAATGCTTCTAAATGTTTGTTGAGTATAATGTATAATTCGAGTATTTATAATCATCGGACGCTTCGAAGATAATCAGTATTATAACGGCCATAGCCTGCATTCCATTATATTTTTTTCACTTATGCTCAAGGACACTCAGGATAAATCAATTTGTGTAATAATGAGCCCATTATTAAAGTATTGAAAGTTTAATGACACTTTGAGAAACATGTTTATGGACTAATGTTCCAACATCAGCATTAGAGCTTCCGTTAAGAGGTTCGACCCCAGCGTGCGATGATAAAACGCAAGAGGTTGAAAACGAACATGTAAATGCAAACATAGTTGATAAATATCTTAAGTTTGTTTCATTCTCTACAAGGTCTGGGAGGACATCAAGTAATCTATGAAGTTGTTAAGGGTGTAATAAATCTGGCTGCTCCCTGCCTGGACTGACTGGGCCACGTCACTCCAAAGCTTGAAATTTAGTAGTTAATTAAATTGTGTTGCATTTACCACACGAGGAATTTGGTCTGCATTAGGGAGCAGATTTTACATCTCTTGATGGACATACACGACTTAGATCAGATTAACGCTACCACCACTAAACGCTGCCAAAATAGCCTATATAGCCTCTTTGATATGTTCCTTTTGCTGGTCAGCAATGAAGTGAATCACGCCATTTTATTGCACAATTATATTTTGTTAGACATTTCTTCAAATTAAGGACTTAATTACCTAAAACTTAATTACTTACTTACTAAATTAATTACTTAAAACTCGCTTTGTAATTTAACCCTAAATTTAAATAATATGATTTTTATTAGCATGCTCAAGTAAATAAACATTCAGAAATTTACAGAAATCTACAAGCTGAATCTTCGTCGTGCCAAGACAAGCTACCTGCAATAATTAAGTCCCCACACGTCTGAAATAAATTTCTTATTCTAATAAATTATATCGTTAATCTTGTCGTTCTGCAGTAGTTCACAATATTTTGCATGGTTTGTATATAAGGCTGGAATAAATAAAAAATGGATTAGATAACGATGAACATGAACTGTTAAAATGAAGATAATAATAACTATGTACATTTGTTTAGGTCATTTCTTTGCCACAACCTACTGAAATTCAAGAAAAAAATCTTCAGAAATGGAGGTTACTGTCCTGCTAAAACTGCAGTGATTCCTTGCTAAAAGGATTATCACGTCATAAACAACAGAACACATGAACGCGGAATCTTATACATAATAGAAAAAATGAAGTGCATTAACTCTGCTCATGATTAGTTGAAATAATAATTGTAAGAAATGCATTTTTCTCTCGCATTTGGAGAAGACAATGATGCCGGTATTTGATCCTTTTAGCACTGAAATTAAATGGGGCAATTCGAGTTAATTCATTTACGGTTAAAAAGAATACGAATCGGACCAGATATCAAACGGAAGAAAAAATGCAATAAAGTCTTAACCCAGGCACAAATGCGGAGCTTTTTCAGGAGCCATCGGGGTATCCACATCACCAAGAAGAAAAAAAGAGCGATATGGTCCCTCAAACCAAGTTTCTTCTTATTATGCGAGGTGTCAGTATCACTCTCATCATCACTCATCTCCTTACGATGGTGAACTGAGTTGAGTGTAGTACACCTGCCCTGCCTATATATAGAAGAGGGTTTACTTTTTTCCCTAAACTGTTTATCTTTTGTTTTCGATTGATCGCGGGGGTATTTAGACAAAGGGGCCTGGATATGTCTAGGAACATGAGCAGGCTCGGTATGCGGGGCACTGTAACGAGTAACTGTTTTCACCTCCAGAAACTCGGTGATACTTTGACCCAATGGCTGATCATTCGGTCGGACGTTGGTACAAGCAAGTGTACCACACTGACTTAGCTCGTCATCATTGGGAGCTGGTAGTTGCGCCACGTCGTTAATTTCACCACGAATATTTTTCTCCAATTCAAATTTTTTCTGGGCACAATTTTGTGCTGTCGCCTTCGGTGTGTTTTCAAGCCACAAGAGAATTGATTCACACAACTTTAATGTAGCAGAATCACTGCCGGACTTATCTTCAAGCATTTTCCGTTGTTCGATGCAGAAAGTTTCAAGATCGTTCATGGCATTTTCATCCTCTTTCAATTTCCTCTCGTCTTCTAGAAAGATTTTATGACGATTCATGCAAGCTTGCATGCCTTTTGTGTCAGATGACAGACCCAGAGTCGGTACTCCTCTTGCGTCTTGATTAGATATAAGTTCAATGTGAAAAACTCCGCTTTCATCGACCTTAAATAAAATTTGACCTGATTTCGGGGACAGACCTATCTGTTTTGATCGTATTCTTTTCAGTTTGAAGGTATCATACCCTTCACCAACACACACTGGCACATTTTCATACACATTTATACCAGTAGTCGTTAGGATCTTCCAGATATCATTTGACGTTTGTAGACTGAAATTTCCAGGAATGCGTACTCCAAAATTAATTATTTCTTTTGATTTCGAACCTTCCTTGTACCAGACGCACCTGGACAACACCTCTTCCACTTCGCGTGGCGTTGAGCAGCACAACTCGGCAGCTCGGAGGGCAGCGCCACAGGCAACTGCTTCGTCCTTGTTAAGCGAGTGATCCAGAGGTTTTCCTAATGTTTTAGCAATCAGCCGTTCTACGGCAGGAATACGCGTTGAGCCTCCCACTAACACAACTGTTCTAACATTTTGCCAACCATCGGACTGGACCAATCGATGCAATGCATTACTGAGATTTGCAAACTGGTCCCGGCACGCGTCTTCCATTTCTTTCCTCGTAAAGGGACAGGTGAAGTCGATGTTGTCTGACATTGAGTCAATTTGCAGTACAGATGCGGTTAGAAGTGTCAGGTTGTGTTTCAACTTCTCTGCGGCCGACCTTAACCTCAGAAAAGCTCTAGGAGACTCTATGAAAGTTTGCTTGTGCTTGTCTTCAAACCTTTTGATAACAGCATTCACCACGCACACGTCTATGAAGTTTCCACCAATCGTTGAATCACCAATGGCTGCTTGAACTTTCACTACTCCATCATTCAGATTAATAACAGCGAGGCTAAGAGAACTTGCACCAAAATCGATAACAGCAATGCAATCTTCTTTTCTGGGGTGCTGATCCCAGTAAGCTGTGGCAGCGGCTGTGGTCGAATTGACCAGTGTGACTTCCTTGAGGCCGGCGATGCAGGCGGCATCAAGAGTGGCATGTCGCTGTGCGTTGCTGAAATTTACAGGCACTGAAATGACGGCGTTTGTGACCGTACTTCCGAAGTGATCTTCTGCTCCAGACTTCATTTTAGAGATCAGCAGAGCCGTTATTTCCTCAAGGCGTAGTCCTTTATTTTCATTCCTGTACTTGACTTTAAAGACAGGCGACCCGTCCTCGGTTGTTGGAAATACATGAAGATAAGGTAGCAAGGCACGGCTGACTGCATCATCCAGACGACTTAGCTTCGGCGGTTTTTGGTTATCACAATTTGAATATAACGACTCTTTTTTCTGATTCTTATTAAATCTCCTGCCGAGGACGGTCTTGACGCCATAGACGGTGTTGGTGGCGTTGAGCGCCGCCTGGTCCCTGGCATCGCTGCCCACGAGGCTGCGGGAGTCTGTGAAGGCAACAAAACTCGGAGTGGTCTTGTCGCCATGAGCGTTTGGCAACACCGTCACCGCTCCAGCGCGTACGCTGGCAACACAACACTTGCCTGCGCCCAGGTCCAGCCCGATGCTCGCTGTACTTGGTATCTTCCTGCAAACCGGAATCAACATTAAAATCATTCAATTTGAGGAGTAACAAAATTCTGTGCCTCAAAATTGTAAAGAAGCCTTGATGTAACACGGATTGAACAAAATTCTATCACACTGTAGCGGGACAATTTAAATGGGCGACATTTGCGTTATTCTGAGTCTCTGCCGGCGGGCCCTAACATACGAGGAGGACGATCCAAATGAAAAGTGCAAGAGGCTCAAAAATATATTTCAGCAGTCGAGAAGTGAAGATAACTCGAACCTGAGTAGAGGATAATAAAGGATGTCGCATAAAATGCTCACAGTATGACAAACACCAGGTTGTAAACATGGAATAATTACCAAAATTCATTACGGCTTAACAAGACAGCATAAATTTACAGTGCGAAGTAGAGATCGCAGCCCAACTACTGACTAATGATAGGTACGTCCCTTGAAAGATGCGTTTCTATACTACTTATCTGCTCTCACAATCAGGGGAAGTCTGGCCACTTAAAACAAACAGCGCGGTTAGAAGTTGGCCAGTCTCATCAATATGTGAAAAGATGGAAAATGATATAAAAATTAGAATTATTATGAGTTTGGAATTTGAACATAGGAAATGTTTAAAACCCCCTCATATCCACATTTTTCATTTCAAATCATCTCAACATGAGAGAGAAAATCCGAATGATGAAATTATATGATGCATTTTACGGGGGTTTTCAAGATTACAAATCAACACCAAAGTTCTACAGAAAATTCTACTGAAAGGAAATCCAATTGAATCTCAAAAACAAAAAAAAAAAAAAAAAAAATTCTAAAAAATTACAGATTAAAATAATTTAATTTATATCACAATTTTTCACAAATTTTTTATTCGACCTTATTTCTAGTTAGATCCGAAAAATATTCTTGTAGATTCTAGAATATGTATCATCACTGATGGTATATTCTGAAGCTACTGGATTATTTGTCTTGATCTTCAGTCACTTATTTGTTTGGCAAGGTAAAAGTAGTAACCGATTTGTGGTTGGTTTATGTCATATCCGTAATTCGCTAACTACTTGAAGTGCCTCATTAGTTAGAGGCGTTGAATTTTCCAATTTCACGTCAAACCTTATTGGGGTTTCTTCTCGTACAATCGAAATACTTGCTGCTACTTGGATAAAAAAGAAGAGGTCACGAATAAGTGTTTCATTTCCCTCTGCCTGAATCACTGATACCGAACACGGCCGCACACAGATCAAGTTGAGCTGCTTACGCGCAATTAGCTTTATATATTGGACGTATCATATTTAGTTTATTGCTTCCATGGCTATGCTGAATCTTAGTAAACCATCACTTTTTTATTCACACAGCAGATGGTCATGCTGGAACGCCTAGGGTTTTGACAGAGTACAGTGCAAAAACAATGATTGTAACATGATTTTCAATTGCATGTGTACGAGTACAATAATTATTACTAGACACTGCGTTCACTTTGCAGTGGCAGTTAAAGTGATCAAATTTGGAATTACAATTTTCAGTGCTTGCTGAATTGAAGAAGCGTAATTATTTCTTCGTTTTACATCCAGTCATGACTGTGGCTTATAAATTTACTGCTCATATATTAAGTGAATTTTTAATATATGTGACTAAGGAGTATACACTCGCTGGGCTGACCCCTGTATTTACATCGTATCTTTGCCAGTTGGCCTTCTCAGCTATCGCCTATCGCGTCGCTAGAACCAAGGGCAGGCCTCAGCTCAACATTGAGCGCAATTTGAGATTGGCGTTTTTAGGGCAGCAGCCGACTTTTGAGGGAAGGTGCAGTGCAAGACAGGTTCATTGCAGTATAGTGATATGTTTTATTGTTTTCTTGCCTCTCCCAGATTGCAATGACAGGGTGGCAGCAGAGTTATTGAAAAAAAAAACACATTAGTGAAGCATCTTGTTCATCATCAACATCATAGAGTAGAATCGTGTCAATGCTCAAGAAGAAAGTCTACGTCGAACATAAAACTGCACATGGGCATAAAACTGTCACATGATTATTGAGAACTTGAAATAATAAATTGCTGTTCTCAATAATCAATAATTGCATTGACAAGAGTCAAACTCGAAATACTATGCGTTTTAAAAGTACATTTTAATGACCACACCTCTAAAGAGGCCGATGTCTATGATGATTTGGATGTAAAACGAATTTATTATTTTATTTTTGAATTTATTATTTTAAGTCTCAAAAAAACTTGCAATCAATATTTTACGAAAAATCAATATAATTACACAAATATGCGTTTTAACTTACTTTTTAAAGACCTCACTTCTAAAAATGCCGGTATATCTAATTTAATATTTAATTGTCTAAAATATTTAATTAAATATTGAAAAAAAATATTTTTAATTTTTAAACTATTTTTTATTCTTTCAATTGCCTCATGCATTGTCTCCGACTTTAAGCAAGTGTGCAAAATTTCAGATCAATTGGGCTGGTAGAAGTGTGTTAAATTTCGATTATTAGATTTGTAGCAGACAAACAAACAAGAAGTGAAGTTAATAAGAAGCGTGGTAATAATAAAGAGAATGACACAGAGGAAAATAATTATTGGGATGCTCAGGACAACACAAAAGTTGAGCATATGTAGCATTAACGTAACTCACATTGCAGTGCAGAATTGTAGCTTGATAGATGACTATAGTACTTTTTGGTTGACGCTTGAACCATCCGTTACCCACCACCAAACTCGTCAACTCTCAGCGATGCACTGATAGTGGTTATCACAATCGCATGAGCACGTCTCCTTGTACGACTGTAAACATTGGCACATATTTTAACACCAGAGGGCCTAGGAACGTGTAGTTAGTATACAAGAAACGACATCAAACATGTACCTGAATCTATATTTCAACGCCAGAAGATCTATGGGATTGTAACTGGCATGAAAATATAAATATCAAAAAGTAAAAGTGATTGAAAATGGGATTACCTAGATTAAATTCCCTATAATCGAACAATGACTATTGACTTATCTTCATTGACAACAGAAGCGATGACGCATCGAGTTAGGCGTCTGCAACACTGCGCGCAGTGATATTTATGTTCCATGCCAGATATCGCATTCTGCAGCGTAAATAAACATTTCATTCATATATACATACAATTTACCAAAATTATTATAAGCAATGCTATTGACGATTCAAGATATTAAATTGTCATACATCAAGTTACGAAACCTGAGGTCTCGTATGACACGCAAAACATTTGTCATACGAGATCGATCGAAAGAGTCAAGATATAATTATAAATATGTAAAGATTATAGGATTATATTTCGGTTAGGTTAATTGCAATAAAGTTGCATTGATATGTTTTGAAAATGTTTTATTATCATTAAATATTTATGAGTAAATCCCAATAGCAGAATAAATATTTAGAGATTTACAACAATTTTGGCCATTGTAGCGGCGCTACATTTCACTGTAGCGGTTGCGGTAGCGCCCGCTACATTTAGAGCATGTAGCGGTAGCGCCGCTACATTTCGAAGTAGCGCTGCCCAGCTTTGTGTATTCATCAATAGTGCATACATCAATAATAATACAAAAAATACATTGTTTCGTTTGAACGATTGGAAAACCCTCCCTGGGATTTAGGTGGACTGTAAACACCTAAAAAATATATTTTTATCTTGAAAATCGCATGAAAAACCCAAAGCATAGTCGAAAAAATCAGTGTCCTCTAGCCGGTATGGAAGCTCGTCTGTGATTGGCTGGCGTACGCCGTAGGCTCGGGGTATATAATACGAACGCTGGGCACTGGGCAGCAACCACCAGTGTGCACCCGCTCGCGGGAGTACGAGGAGTGTTGTGTCGCGCTGCTCCTTTCCGGTTTGCATCATCCCTATACGGCATATCGACTGACTGTGAGTCTCCATAACAGTAAAATGTATTACTATGCTGAAAAAGAATGAGTACAGCACTTACAACTCATGTTCACAGTAGTTAGGTCTTAATTTTTCGCTGAAATGTAGCTTCTAAAATCTCATTAGACCCCCCATAGGCCTACCGCAATGGGGGGAGGCCTACGGTATCCGCATAGGCCTACCTGCTTGGTCAGGGGGATGGTTAGGGAGGGGTTCGGGTTCAAGTGCCATAGGATGTGCAGTGATGACGTCATCTGATAAAGTAAAGATTATTGGGGAAAATTGGTATACGTATAAAAATCAGTATATTTTTAAATATTGATTATATCGGTAGTAAAGCCACGGTGTGATTATTAAATAATTCAATAATTTCTTAAAGATTTTTTAAATAAGCAACTATGGCATGAACGTTTTCAATTCAGGCATTTGGTTAAGATGTTCAATTCATTTCAATCTATTTACTTAACTTTTACCCTATAATATTCAAAACTGGATGCGTGATCGAGATACGATAAATACCTAACCTCCCAACGGTGATGTTTAGCTCGTGACAATTTTTATATTTTTCTTTCGTTATTAAGTTATACAGGCATAGCAGAAACGACCGGCTTTTCTACCGGCCAGTTTAACCGAGGTTCACAAGATGAAAAAATTTTTCACAAGCTAAACATTACCGTTCGGTAGTTAGGACTGTAAATTCAAAATTTCGTTCAAATCTGTTCAGTAGTTTGGAAGAAATTCCTTGATCACTATGAATTTCGGCTCGTATTGTCATATAACTCACAAATGAAATCAAAATTCAAAAAATTTTCACGTGCTAAACATTACCGTTAGGTCCTTATGAATCCGTGTACCAAGTTTCATCGAGTTACGTTCATTAGTTTGATATTTCTTGATCGTTGAATTTGGAAATTGGCCATGAGACCAGCCGTTAATTTGTCTGAGACGTAAACCCAGGAGAGGTTAAAAATAACAGATCTGGGCGGAAAAACCATCGCTGGGAGTCATGTGCTGCACGTGTTGTGAATTAATTGTCAAACAAACGTTCGAACTTCTGACTTTCACTGCGGACTGCCGCCCTCCTATCGCCCTCTTCTTCCTTACCGCCCCCCAAAATCTTTCCACCGCCCCTAGGGGGGGCGATATATTTCAATGCGATATCTGGCATGTCATTTTGAGTCTCTGCCTGCTGGCCCTAACATAAGAGGAGGTAGATCAAAATGAAAAGTACAAGAGGCTCAAAGATATATTTCGGCAGTCGAGAAGTGAAGATAACTTGTACCAGATTAGAGGATAATTGAGGATGTCGCATTAAATGCTCACAGTATGACAAGCACCAGGTTGTAAAGATGGAATAATTACCAAACTTCATTATGGCTTAACAAGACAGAATAAATTTACAGTGCGAAGTAGATATCGGAGCCCAACTATTGACTTATGATCAGTACGTCCCATGCATGACAGATGCGTTTCTATACTACTTATCTTCATTCACAATCGGGGGAAGTGTGGCCACTTAAAACAAACAGCGAGGTCCAAAGTCCGGCCTTGGCCGGATTTGAATATAAGAAATGTTTGTAAACCCTCATTTTTATTTCAAATCATCTCAATATGAGAGAAAAAATCCGAATGATGATATTATATGATGCATTTCACGGAGGTTTTCAAGAGAACAAATCAACACCAAAGTTCTATGGGAAATCCTACTGAAAGTATCTTGAAAACAAAAAAACAAATTATAAAAAATGTCACATAAAAATAATTTAATTTATATCACAATTTTTCAAAAATTTTTATTCGACCTTATTTTTAGTTAGGTCCGAAAACTATTCTTGTACATTCTAAGATATGTATGTATCATCATTGATGGTATATTCTGAAGCTACTGGGTTACTTGTCTTGATCTTCAGTCACTTAGTTGCATGGCACTGTAGAAATAGAAACCGATTTGTGGTTGCTTTATGTTTATGTCATAGCAGTAACTCACAAACTATATTCGAAGCGCCCCCAGGTGCGTTGAATTTTCAAATTTCACGTTAATCTTAATGGGGTTTCTTATCTAATAACCGAGGTACTTGCTACTACCTGGAGAATACAAGAAGCGGTCACGAATAAGTGTTTCAGTTCCCTCTGCCTGAATCACTAATACAGAACACGGCCGCACACAGGTCAAGTTAAGCTGCTTACCCGCAATTATCTTCGTTTATTGGACTTGAATTTTTCTAGTTTATTGCTTCCATAGCCTTGCTGAATCCTAGTAAAGTATCACATTTTTTATTCACACAGCCGACAGCCATGCTGGAACGGTCAAGGTTTTGACTAAGTACAGTGCAAAAACAGTGTAACTCAGTCCTCACTGCAGTGAGTGACAGAGAGCGCATTTTCTCGTCGACGAAAACCTGAAGTCACGGACGGACAGACAGACGGACGGACATGACGGGCGAAATAGCGCCTTTTTTCATAATGAGAATTGCGCTAACAATGATTGTCGCACGATTTTTAATTGCAGGTGTACGAGTACGATAATTATAACTAGATCCTGCGTTCACTTTGCAATGACAACTAAAGTAATCAAATTTTGAATTAAAATTTTCATTTCAATGCCTTTACCACATCGCGTTTCTGCCAGTTGGCCCGCGTAGCTTTGGCCCAAAAGCTTTCCCGCGTAGATTGGAGGCCGTCATTAAAAATAAGGGTGGTCATATTGAATAAATATGTCTGAGAATTTTTCAGGTAATTCTTGGCTACTATAGCTCATCCAAAGAAAACCAATGCACCCGTTTGTTTCACTGAGAAATAACAAAAAAACATGCGTTGCCATAAATATGGCGGACCCTGTAAAGACGATCGAAGTTATCACTGTGACGCTTGTGATAACTATCAGATTCCTCGCATTATGTGATTAGATCTCAATTTATTTACATAATAATTGTATTGTAAATTTTTATTACTTCAATTAAATTAAAAATTAAGTTCAGTAGCAATATTTATTGAATATTAAATAATTTTTATTATTTTTTAGGTAAATGACTGGTAACATAATTTCACAAATCGTCTTTGGTATCTAATGCAACTTTTGAGAGCAACATGAGTTCTCATCAATTTAATGCCAGCATTAAAATTTTCCTTATATTGTAATTCATATCTAACGCGAGAAACCCAACTATATAGACTACAATTTATTTAAAATACCAATGATAAACAATACAAATTCTGACTGTCTTGTCTGAAAGAAAAATAAAATATTGTTACAAGCCAGTAGACGAATTTCGTAAACAAAAAGTCTTTTATCTGTACTCCTAGTTAGTAGTTGTACATCAAGTGTTCAAGAATGTGGTAGGTTGTAACATGTTTGAAACTATATATGTGTTGAATTTGGTATTGCTATTCAAGATCTACCCGACCTCGATCAGTTGGCAATCCCGGTGTTTGCAACGAATACAAATTTTCTAGTTGATCTGACTACATACTACATACGATATGATATGGCTAACGTGTGAGGTTATGGTGCAGTCAGCTGATGGAAACATCGTCCCGAAATCATCCTTTCGATGCGATAATTTGCTCAGAAAAGCAAATATAGATTCATAGTAGTTACTTTTGAATCTGAATAGTTTTTCAATGGTCCTCAGTTTTATAACGATTGTGACAAACAATTTAGGTACTTATTACCATTATTGTAACGGTTCAGATTTTAAATGAGCAGGTGAGAGATTTGAGAAACAAATGCATTTTTACTGAATATTTTGATTCAACAAAATATTTGAAAAAGTTACTTGAATATTTTGTTTCAAGTAACTGGAAAACTATTACTTGAATCAACATATTTTTTTATTGAATTTTCCAATCGCACATTTCCATTAGATCGAACGCGTTCAATGATGATGTTGAGCAAGATCATTCGAATTGCTTCAACACCAAAATGAACAACGAATAAAAAATCGGATGCTACACAGCCTACACTATTAAGACATTACTACTCAAGTGTCAATGTCAATCTTGATTGCTCAACTGTTACCCTCATAATTTTCTTTCAACTTTGCGCAGTTTTCTAAAAAATATATATAATGAAAATCGGTTGTTTCTCGATATTTGGAAAATGCAATAGTAATCCAAAGATTAAGACAAGCGCCTTATCAGCTTCAATTCCTATAAAATATGGTAATTTTCAGTTATACGCTGGTAAAAATATTAACTTTCTGATTGAGTTTCAGTTGCATGCATTATTGCAATGTTGAATATACTTTTACAATATAACGTGTATTGTTCTTCACATAACGTATCCAGATCTGGTGCTCACAAAATTGGTATACGCAACATTGTTTTTGCGGCCATTATTCTGTGTGAATAACGGACTTGTTGTTAATTCTTGCCTATAAAACTGGTACACTTTGAATTTCATTTCTCTCATCAGCTTGCTCGAAATGAAATTGTTTCTTTCGTTGACACATGAGAGGAAGTAACACTCATTAAATTGAACGTAAAACGCAGGTACCTGTTGGGTTCTGGGCACGTCATAATTGACCTAAACTAATCTTGTTTCATAATGTCTTTATTTTGCATCCACGTGAGTTCTGAGTTTTACTTTTCGATTCTGATTCTAACTTGCAGGACGATGTCAGGCGCGGCCAGCATCGGACTGGACCTGGGCGCAGGCAAGTGCTGTGTTGCCAGCGTGCGCGCAGGAGCGGTGAAGGTGTTGCCAAACGCTTACGGCGACAAGACCACTCCGAGTTTTGTTGCCTTCACCGACTCACGCAGCCTCGTGGGCAGAAATGCCAGGGACCAGGCGACCTTCAACGCCGCCAACACCGTCTATGGCGTCAAGACCGTCCTCGGCAGGAGATTTGACAAGAATCAGAAAAGAGAGTCGTTCTATTCCAATTACGTTGGCACAAAATCCGAAAGGCGACCATATTCGGATGAAGAAGAGGTAACAGTGCTGCCTTATCTTCCCGTATTTTCATCAACCGTGGACGGTTTGCTTGTCTTTGAAGTGGAGTACAGAAATGAAAAGGTAAGGCTACGCCCTGAGGAAATAACGGCTTTGCTGATCGCCAAGATGAAGTCCGACGCAGAAAATCACTTGAGGAGCGAGGTCACAAACGCAGTAATTACCGTGCCAGTAAATTTCGGCAACGCGCCGCGACAAGCCACACTTGATGCGGCCCTCATCGCCGGCCTTGAAAGCGTCACACTGATCAACTCGACCACCGCTGCCGCTATCGCTTATTGGGACCATCGACCCAGAGAAAAAGACTGCGTAGCTGTCGTTGATTTCGGTGCAAATTCTCTGAACCTATCAATTGTTTCAATGGATAATGGGGCACTACAAGTGCAGGAAGCTTTCGGTTCCTCAACTGTTGGTGGAAACTTCATAGACATGTGCATGATGCAAACCGTTATCAAAAAGTTTGAAGACCAGCACCACCAATCGTTCGAGGAGTCCCCGAAAGCACTCATGAGAATAAGGACAGCCACGGAGAAGTTGAAAGATAATCTGACTCTCCTAAGTTCTTCCGTGATACAAGTAGACTCGATGTCTAACGACATTGATTTCACGAGCACATTTACCAGGAGAGAAATGGAAGTTGCATGCCAGAATCAGTTATTAAATCTCGCGAATGCGTTGCATCAATTGACTCAGTCGGAAAGTTGGACTAAAGTTCGAACAGTTGTGCTGGTGGGAGGCTCAACGCGTATTCCTGCTGTAGAAAAACTGATTGCCAAAACACTAGGAAAATCTCTGGATACTTCGCTCAATAAAGACGAAGCGATTGCCTGTGGCGCTGCCATACGAGCTGACGAGTTCTCGGGTTCAACAACTCGCAAGGTGGAGGAGGTGTTCACCAGGTGTATCAGTTATGACTCAGTTTTGGAGTCAGGCAGAATTTTTGATTCGGGAGCATGCATTCCAGCCGAGCGCAGTTTCCAAATGTCAAATGATATCTATGAGCACCCAAATGGGTTAAGACTGTATGAGAACATACCTACGCTGGTATGGAAAAGGTTTCACCACTTCGAACTGACAACACTGCGATTAAGACAGCTCGGCCTTTCGACGACAACGGGCGGACTCTTGTTTGCGATTGATGAGAGCGGAGTTCTCCGCATAAAACTTATTGTTGAAGGGAAGACAGTAGACATGCCAACTCGTGAGCTTTCATCTGACTCGGATGATATGCAAGCATTTTTGGATCGTCATAAAGTATTCCTGGACGACATAAGTAGAATGAAAGACGATGAACATGCAATGGACGATCTTGAATCTTTCTGCGTCGACCAAAAGGAAAAGCTCAGAGAGAAGTTCGGACATGATTCTGCTGCTTTCAAGTTGTGTGAAGAAATTTTGACCTGGCTTGAAGATACACCAGAAGCAACGAAGCAACAATGCAGTGAGAAGAAAAGAGATTTGGAGAACAAAATAGATGTTGAAGTTTACGACAAGGCGCTGCCACATGAACCCCAAAAGTTCAAATCAAATCACCTTGATGATGCCGCTTATCGCCCAGGAGATAAGGTTAATCTCCTTGATGACGCTGCACATCGCTGTTGTGATGCTATACATAGCCGAAGTCATGTTTCACATCAAGCTGTTGATGCATCACATCCTATTGATCACGCTGCATATAACCCTGCTGCACATTACCCTGGTTATACAATACATCGCCTTGGTCGTGCAGTTGCTTCCCCTACCGACAAGACAATTCCTCAAACATCCACTCGTTCGGCATACACCAGTAGTGGAAATAAGGAACATTATCCCTCATCAGAGAAAAGGACGAGTCCACAGTTTTCAAATGAGTTGCGTCAAACCTATTTACTTGCAGCAACTCGGGAACCTGTTCCAGTACATGGGAGTTCCAATGCCAATGCACAACAGTCATCTTCCAGCCATGTACGTCCATCAGCCTGTAAAAACGCAGGCCACGAGGTTTATTCCTCATCTCGACCTATGAAGGGAGCTTCATTAGTCGATTATGAAGTAGGCTCATCAATCAAGAATAGTTTAATGCAGGGTAAGCAAGCGTGCAATGGAACCTCAGGCAAAGAAGATCATAGACGAAGGCGCTCAGAGAAAATCACACAACCTTACCCTACGGATCTTTGTTTTCAAGGCCTTCCTTCTGACCTGCCACATCCTAATCATTCGAGTGATACAGTTGAACATCTGACTCACAGAAATCGAAGTGATGGTTCAAAAAATACTGCTCGACGTGTACGAGAACAAGATTCTTCAATTGTAAACAGGAATAAGCGGCCCCGCGGCAACAGAAGAGTCAAATCTGAGTGGGGTTGTTGTTGTTGTTGTTCATAGCGTCGATCGCCATTCAGGTGCGCCGGGCGAGTAGCTTAGGAGGCTGACGGTGGAGGGCGACCTGGGGTCAGAAAAGTTAAGAGTTCGTAACTCCGTCAGCCAGTCACTGACGGTTTTTGCGGCAAAACCTGCCAATCACAGACTGCAAATCAGCGACTACGTGTGCGTAGGCAAATACGTGTGCCTGAGTGAGTTTCGAAAGTCCTTACCTGGAGAGGAGGGTGATGGGCAAATGATGGAAGAAAGACCGAAAAGACCGCGGTCTGTTCAGGACTGTCCCACAGCGATGAGACGTTGAGGTTCGTGGGGAAATGCGGGCAGAGCAAGGTCAGCACAGTGATCAACCGAAGGCGAAAAGACATGAAAATAATTCAAATGCCAACCAGACTCGCGTAAAAACGGATAAATTGGGCGATCTCATAAGTGACAATAACAGCTCGAAGTATACAAAGTAACCTGCTATGTTTTGACGTTTGAATTTGAATTAATTTTTCCTTGGATTGCTTTAGTTACTGACACTTTTTTCTGGGTAGCGAGTAGCTAGTCACAATTAAATCACTATCTAGCAGTAGGCTTGAAATATTTTTCCAACATATGCACCGGCGAGAATATTAGAATACATTAGTTTTTTCATAACAAGTTGGTAAATCAAGTGTATTGTATAAGTTAATATGTAATGCATGTGGGTGAATGCAATGGCTAACTTCTGTTCTTGATGGCGTAAATCTGAATTCATGATAATAGACATATTTTTAAACTGCTCCTTGTGTTATATGCCCATGAGTATCCTCCACCCTCAGTTGTGCTATATATGCATCCGTTTTTTTGGGGAAACGAGTGCTGCCATATTGATAAACTGAACTGTTTAGTTCTAATTGTATCATTTGCTTATTTTTAGAATCATTGCTAATGTTGTGAATAATTAATGATTGTTCTTGAGGGGTTTTTACTGGGTTTTGATAATTTATTGTTTGGTTATTTTCTAAGATTTCTAGGGTAAAGTTCTAAATGTGAAGGGTTGCTAGGATTTGATGCCCTGTCATCCAGATCGACAAGACTGTTATCTATTGTAAAATTTGCGTGTTGGCTTCTGTTGGGACTTGGAAGTTGAAGGTGTGAGCCACTGTAGCGTAGTGGTAGTGGCACCGAGATAAGAGGGTTCTGGCCAATTGGGAAACTCAGTTAATTTCTCGGTGTCACTTGTAGGCAGTGCTTGGTCGCCGTCAAAAATTGTGCGTGCAGCATGGCCTTGGTTTGGTGTCTCACAATGAACTCTGGGTATAAATTATCTAGGGTTATCTTAAGGCGTGACGCCCTGCACGCAAGAATGGCGTTTAACCTAGAAAATAATTTGATTTTCTATATAGTATGTCACTGTATTGGTGAATATTACCCAAAGATTCTACCAAAATAATGACAATTACCGATCTCAATTTGTTTTAATAGATTGTTGTGCTTGTATAGTGATTGCGCGGAGTAATGGCATTCTTGATTCTAACCTCAATACAGCGTATATATACTCGCATTTATGTAGTTGTGTTCCAATCGTAGTGATTGTACTAGTACTATTGCTAATATTATTTCCGAGATGATTTATTGTTAATACCGAAGCATACAGAAAACCATAATTAGTGAATAAACTGTCCAATTGGTTTGAGGTGGATCATTTTCTACGAAAATTGGTGAACTTCTAGCCGCCTACAATTGAGCTAAGTTGTCCCTTGACTCAAAATTATTTTCGTAATTTTTATTTTATTAACATATGTCTAGTTTTATATAGAATAAAATAGTTCCAACTGTCGAATTTATTTCCCTGGATTGTCACCTATTTTACAGCCTGGATTCCACAACTTGATTTAGTAAATAGTGGGAGAAATCCTTCCCGTGTTTCATTTTCCGATATGTTAATGAGACAATTAAGTCGTAAGTCGTTATCCCACCTTGATCAAACGACTCGTATGCCTAATGTGACGCTCGGAGCACTTGGTACACGTACAACCGAGCATTTTAGGTACGAGTTACTCTTAATGGACCAAAAACAGCTCCCTTTAGTATTAAGGTCCTAAACGCGATTACCAGTCAAAAACTTGCTTACAAGTCTAAATTCCTGTGCTGTATTTGCGGACTATTTGACTTTCTTTTGTATTAAAATAGAGGCTAAAGTTTGGCTAACTTTAAGATGTAGACCGTGAGATAAGGTTACGATATTTGCTAGTTGTCTCGACCAAAATAAGCGTCGTAAAGGTCGTAAAATAAAGAATTGATAAAATGAAAAACATAATGCGAGCCATAGTTTGTTTCACTTGATTTTATTTTAAATACAACGTTTCAAAAATTATCTTTCCGTGAATTCAAATTTAGGTAAATTTCAACGTCCAATATCGTAAAAAATGCCTTTATCGACTCCCATCGAGTCGGAGGATTTAATGGATTAGCTTGTGTGAGGTGCAAAACCAAGTGATCGTAAAAACTGGCCTAAACTTAGGTACGTATCATGATTTTATGCTGGATCTAGTTCGTACGAACACATTATTGCTGCATGTACGCGTATTATGTTGTCAACGACAAATGTCTTCGCATAACAAATGAAATTGCTCATTGTAGATGTAAATCAGTAATGGATCGTATCGGTAATAGATTCACATAAATATATAGCTTTATACGTTGCTTCTCAAGCATTATTTTATAAAATGGCTAAAGAATTACCAACCTCTAAATTACCAACCTCCAACCTACCAACACATGGTATAAATTGCTTTAGGATAAAAATTTAAGTTAAGTTAAAATGCAACAAGCACGTCTTGCAGTTATGCGACGCTGTTTTAGCTTTCAACTAATAACGTTGCGGTAGTCACCAGTATAGAAAAAAGATTTAGCGAATGAATAGTATAAAAGCTCATTTAATTGGTATTATTCATCAGGCATTGCATTACAGTCCGTTTTATCGTAAACATGTTGCTCTACGTTACGAGGGTTCCTCAAATCAATCTCTATTTCTATCATGGAAGAAGTTGGCTCTTTAACTACAGAGAGTAGTTAAGCCACTCAGCCATTCACTCGACTCAGTCATTCACTTATTAGGCAGAGAGCCTTGCATATAATGTATGTTTCCTATTGCATTATTCTATCTGTAGGAGATAGGCTTCTCATTTCTGGAGTCTCTATAAATAAAATGCAGGTCTCAGCTCAACATTGACAGAATTTTAGAGCGGCAGTTTCGGCATTGCAACTAAAATTTGAGGAGGCTCATGCAGAGCAGGCTCATTGCCGTTACTAATTCCAGGAGAAATTTCCCAGTTTCAATTATCAAAAACATTTAGGAAAACGCTTTTTACTTCATTTGCCTAGTGGAATTTTTTTAAATCAATTAAAATATATTATTTATGTATTCGTGTCGTAAGCACGGTGTCATTTGATATTCTTGATTTCAATCCATTTAAATATTTATTGATATTTAAATATTTCTTTTAGGTCTATTACGGACATGACAGGCATTAAAATTCTTACTGGTTCTAAGTGAGGAAAGGACTAGACAAAAATACAATTTGAAACCACTGGCTTTAATGCTGATTTTTATTCAGTATTCATCTTAGTGGCGGTAGTTCGTTAGGTTCAGCTCAAAATTTGTAATAATCTTTTTCTATTTCTGTAAGAGGTCAAATGACGGCGGGACGAGGCAAGAAATTACTAATCTTGAATATTTACGTATAAAAAAAAAGTCGACAACAAGTTGTGTTGGAATAACCTGATAGCTTTCCATATGAATGCACGGAAAGATATTTTAGATTTAAATTTTTTGAAATCTGGTTAATTGAAATCGGTTACCTGCCAGCATCGTATATGAATTTGGACACAATTGTTGAGTTTATCTGTATTTTGTAAGCATTTTCCGTTTTCTCACACTATTATTGGATGATTGACGTGAATCAGACCAGAGTTCATCATCATTCATTTCACTGAAACAAAATACGGGAGCGCCTATAGGCTCTGGGGCCAAAGAGTCGCAACACTGGGAACAAGTACAAAGTTATTACGCGGGTCTGCTTGGCCTTCGGATAGAAGTCAGCTTCTGGTTAGAGTCTCCTTTCCGTCTTGATTAATATACCTGAGTATCATCATATATCATAAATTTATTGGTTAATTGACAGATATTTTTTCTTCTTTTCGTTCCATAAATGAAAAATGTTAACGGAACCGTGGTAATTATAAAAACTAACGCGATGAATAATGGCAACTAAGACGCTGAGTGTCTTCAAATCTATATTAATGATAAAAATATTGATTTTTTTTGCTAGGATGCATCACACGATCCGTTGTTTTCATCAAATGTGAATAATTAATATGTATCAAGAGAATGGATGTAATTGTCATGTAAAAGACGTTTTATTAGTTAGTGCCGTTTCCAAATTAAGCTACAGCGCTACGGCCGCCGTTTTATGCATGTGCGCCGTACGCGTAGCTATACATCTGTGTAGAATTGATACGGACGCCAGTACGGAACCATCCGAGCGAGTCTACATTGTTTACATGATTTCAAAATTCCTCCAACTCTTGAGAATTCCGCCGACTGCAAAGTGCGTGCGTTTCAAATCATTCATCGCAAATCAGTGAAGTATGTAGTATGTTCAGAGTTGACATTCATCGCAAATCAGTGAAGTATGTGAATGTAGAAAACATTATCAGTGATGGGATGGTACGGAATCGGATAAGTACCTTGAAATATGGCCGCGCAAACATTCATGATGAATGAAGTGATAGACATTCAATCATTAACGATGATTTGAAAAATATATGATGATTTCCTTGTTAGCTGAAAAGTTTCCTGCTGACTTAAGAAAGGCACGTTTTTACGAAATTGTCAAATCAGGCGGCGAGCTTCTTTGATGATGGCATACAAAAGCTGGACCCTTGATACGATAAATGCATCAATATTTTATGGAGTAGTAGCATATAACAATTATGTTGTAAAGTATGACCAATGAAGTGAATAAACTTTTTTAAAATGTGCCTGTTTTTAATGCCGAAACAGAACTTACTTTAAAAACACGCCTTGTTGATTTTCATCGTGTGTGAAACAGCAAATTGATGTCACATGTAACATAATTTAGGAAGAAACGTCTACAGTGTGTAAACATGATTAATAAAGTCATTAATTGATTTAAATTCGAGTCCACGGTCAACATGCAAACAAAGCAATGAAATGCTCCGGTTACTCATGTCAGGCGGTAGAGGGTTATGTTAGGGTTAAACGTTTCAATTATAATAATTATGTTTGAAAATTGCCCCGTTTGATTAACAATTTAAGTAAAAATAGTATATATATTGTTTCATCTTGTTCATTATGGGCTTGTTGCATTCATATTTCGGCTTGTTGCATTCATAGTTCGGCTTGTTGCATTCATATTTCGGCTTGCCTGTGCACAAAAATGATTGAACTGCTAAACTGCAGTTCAGAAGTAACGAGCTGTAGGTCAGGGGCCGTATTATCAAAACTTCGTAATTAAGTACGCAAAATCGACTTACGAGTGGCGTAAGTGCTGACTTGATGACGTGACTCTAGAGGTGGTATTATCAAAACATTTGCGCGGGAAGATGCGTAACGTAACTGTACGCCTGCTCGGAGATGTCGTAAGTGATGTTCCCCACAAGTTTAGAGTGTCTGCTGAAGCGATAGGAAACTATTGATTTACTAGCAAGTAGCAACACCTTGACTTGTGATAGAATTTTTTCAATAATCCGACAGCGCGGATTATACACGCATAGAATGATGGCTCTACTTGTAATATCTCCACTACTTGATCGTACAACATTTGCACGATCAAAATATGTGATCGTGCTAAACAGTGCTATTGGAAAAAAAATCAATTGAGTTAATGCCAGAAGCTGATTTTGTTTTCCTTTTACGTTATATTTTACAAGCAAATGCATATTACGTTATATTTTACAAGCAAATGCATATTACGTTATATTTTACAAGCAAATGCATATTACGTTATATTTTACAAGCGCGAAAGCAAAGCTTTCGCGCCCAACTCTCATCATTCATTCCTTCTAGTCGATACTTTATATCTCTGCTAACCATAATTTTTAGCTCCGTACACAGATTTCTTCTTCAACTCACGCTGTTTATTAAAAAGAGTTCACAACTATTTTAGAACGGCTTTTTCTGGGCCAACAAGGAGCAATACCGACAACATCATTCGATAGTCGATACCATCGAAGGCATCGATTCCCGCCATCGAAGTTCACAGAATGTAAACAAATCCAAAGCCTCTGATTGGTCAGTTGGCCAGATGGTTTTGATAGTACGCTTTTAGCTAAGTCTTACGTACGAATGTTTTGATAATGCCAAAATTAGGGTGTACTTACGTAACACGTAACTTTTTTGTCGGAAGTACAAAAAGTTACGAAGTTGTGATAATACGGCCCCTGGACATGAAAAATAGAACATTTGTGCTCAACGAAAATGTTAAACTCAAGATTTTCATGCTCAGTCGTAATTATTATTCGAACTTTTATTAAGAGACATGATTATGTGAGATTCATTAATAGTTGTAAGTTAGTTTGATATATTAGTTTAAGAGCCTCTGTGTAAATAATGGATGAAGTATATTATTTAATATTTAAATTTCTTTCTAGTCGTTGCTTAGAAATCTTCCCTGATTAATTTGTTAGAATCAAGAAACGCTTTACCCACGCAATCCGCTAGTTATAATAATTGTTATTCCTAATTTGGAGGAAGAATATAATATGAAGTTTATCACACTGATTTTAAATTAATGTGATATTAGGTCTGATAATCTAGATAATCTCGATCTGAAAATCTAGATTATAGTCATCCACTATAGAGTTTAACGGAACTACAAATACATTTCACAGCACTATATATATCGCTTATTACTTATTATATTCTAGATGCACCTATTTCATTAACATTTTGGTACACTGTTCGGAAATGGTATAAACCTATAATTCAGGGATCTAAATTCAGCGAGGTTTCATTGTTATCAAAAAAAACATTAGTGAAGCATCTTTCTCCTCATCAACATTTCGCGATTGATTATATATAATCGTGTCACTGCTTGAGAAGAAAGTTACGTTGAACATAAAACTGCATACTGCATAGGTTAAAACTGCGTAGAATAACATTCAACCGCATACAACTTTCACATGATTATTGAGAACCTGTAATAATAAATTGCTGTTTGCAAAGACAAGTATCAAACTTGAAGAAAGAATGACACATAGGACGATAATTAGTTGGAAGCTCACTCAAGACAACACAAAAGTTGAGCATATGTAGTATTAACGTAACTCACATTGCTGTGCAGAATTGTAGCTTTGAAAGATGACTAGTACTTTTAGGTTGACGCTTGAACCATATCTGTTACCTGCCACCAAACTCGTCAAGTCTCAGCGATGCACTGATAGTGGTTATCACAATCGCATGAGCACGTTACTTTGTACGACTGTAAACCTCGGCACATATTTGTAAACGTATTATTGATTTACAAGGAACAGCATCAAACATATATTTCAACGCCAGAAGATCTATGGGATTGTAGCTAGTATAAAAGAATAAATATCAAAATAAAAAGAGATTAAATGGGATTACTAAGATATAATTCCCTTTAACCGAACAATAACTAATGAATTATTTTTGCCGACATCAGATGCTATGGCACATCGAGTTAGGCGTCTGCATCACTGCGCGCAGTGATATTTATATTTAATGCCAGATATCGCATTTTGCAGAGTAAATCAACTTATCTTTCAAATGTACATACAATTTACCAAAATTATTATAAACAATGCTATTGCCGACTCAAGATATTAAATTTTCATACATCAAGTTACGAGACCTGAGGTCTCGTATTAGAAAGTGGAAAAGTACGAGACTTGAGGTCTCGTATGACACGTAAAACATGTGTCATACGAGATCGATCGGAAGAGTCAAGATTTAATTATAAATATTTATAAATTATACGATTTATAAATCTATAATTTAATGGCGAAACTCATAATATTGAACTACACTACAACTACGAAGTCTGCAGCGACATTTGGTTGTTTCTTGTGCGATTCAATAATCTATTTTATCTTATATTGACTGTAGATTGCAACACACGTCATACCAGCAGCAATGCCTGCTAGTGCATAATTTCGCTCCTACATGTGAGTGAAAAGAAAAAAATAAACAAATTCAACTATAGCCAATTGAATTTATTTCCTGTTGGTGTATCATCAGTATAATTATTTAATGCGAAATGGATAGTAGAATTTACAATATAAAATGTTGAGATCCTTTCCTGATCTTGTATATTATATAACATGGACCATAGATAAAATCAGCTTATATTGTATGTTTATAGCAAAGATAGTGTTTTGCTTCAAATTTCAACTGATTTAATATAAAATATAGCGTTTCATCAGGTTAAAGTTGGATACTCCACTGCATGAAGTGGTTAACATTAAGGCGATCGAAGGTATCACTGCGATGCTAATTGTGAAACAATCAGATTCCTCGCATTACTGTTTGTAAAATTTGATCTCAAATTATTAACATAATAATTGTATTGTATATATGATTTATTTTTATTAAAATTAAAAAGCGGTAGCATATTTTCACAAATTGTTTTTAGTCTCTTAAGTAATTTTTGAGGGCTACACGAGTTCTCATCAATTAATTTAATGCCAGCATTCAAATTTTTCTCTTATTCTTACGCGAGGAGACTAAACATGTATTTACTACCATTCATCCAAAATACCAATTATAAATAATAATAATTCTGACTCTCTAGTCTACAAAAATAAAATATTGTTGCAATCAAGTAGGCGAACTCCGTAACCAAGGAGTTTTTTATCTGGGGAGCGCAGCCGTGCACCACCAATTTTGTGCACCAATAAGCCCTGAATCGAACGCCTTGGATCTCTCCGGATATCCACCAATCAGCCGTGCACCACTCGGCTTTGTCCTCCTCCGGCCTTGACCACCACCTGCCGTGCACCACCAGGCCGCGGATCGAATCTGACTTCCGGGCATAGTTAAATTAATTTTAAAACTTTACGTTCACCGCATTAATTAAAAAAAAACTACGTTCACCGCATCTGAGGTTAGGTTTCAGATAGCATAGTTCTGTTTCAAAATTTATCGTCCTTCGACAAGTGGCCGTTCGACCGAGGGCTGGTTCGATGCGCTGTTGTGGTGGGCGCTTTGTGTCAAAAGCCGTGAAGATGCCCGGCTGCGTTACGCACGGGAAGGTATATGAATCGCACTGTGGACTTGGGCTATGTTGACCTCTAGCTATCCACCCGGTTCGACCCACGGCCTAGATACGGACGGCTTGAAGTGTTGAAGGCTACGTTCCGGAAGGCAGGAATCATGATGGTCCATTACATCCAGGGCAGTTGTGGTCTTCGGCAGGCGACCCTTTTATCTGAACTCCTAGTTAGTCGACGTACAGGAAGTGTTTAAGAATGTGGTCGGTTGTTACTAGTTTGAAACTGTGTGTGAATGCTACAACTCATCTGTACTCATATTCAATTTTTATTCATGGAAATGTTTAAGAAAATGGAAGGTTGTTGCTAGTTTGAAATTAAATATGCATGTTTCTTGCATGCAAGACACGCATCACGCATCATGTAACCCGTAGTGCCACGGCTGCAATCACCCGTTCTGTTGGGGAGAGTCAGGCGAAAAGCTCCCCCCAAGTATTTATAGAATAGCTTTGTTTGTTATCATATAGTATCATATGTTTCTTATTATATGAGTTGTTTGAAATTGATGTAACGCGAAGCGCGATCTGATGTAGGACGACAACCAAGTCAATGATCACTAAAAAAGATACGTTCGAGAACTCAATGTGTATCCGTATAATTGACTTCTGACCGAATACTTCGAGATTTGTGAACTTGGATTGAAAATGCTTTGAACTTCCGTTTCATCATTCTACTTTAAAATCTATAGAATGAAAAGTAAAAAATTTGTGAACGCTTCCTTCTGCTTACTTTCAATTCGAAGATACGGTAAAAATAATGTGAAATTCGGGTTTAATTTATATAATCAAGAGTGGCAAAGTATCGTAAGGTGACCAGCGTTGAAATTGGCGCTCATTTGACCGAACTCGTGTGCCACACGCTGTCCACGAGCAGCAAACATCGAATAATTAATTGTTAATGAAGTTACTGTTTCAGCTAGCATTATTTACTTGTTACTTTTACCCGTTGAACAATGTTATTGTTATTTCTAATATTATTTAACTGTTTACTGTTGGATGATTTGAATCCGTCAAGCCTCGTAAATCGAAATATGGCAATTAAAAAATCAAATACGATGATGAATACCTATGAGCAACACTCACACAATTTTTGTGATATATGAGAAAATTTGATTTAAATGTAGATTATTATGAAAAAATTAATGGTAGGCGACGTCGAACGTAACACGTCTTCGTGTGTAACGCCAACTTCAATAAGAAGGGCTACATCAGTAACGCTATATATATAACCTCAACAACCTCCACGTGGCAAATCGTTATGATTAGCAGTTAACAAATGGAGTTAGTTTGTTGGAGATAAAATTGTATTCATCCGAAATATGTTCCAATATGTTCCTCAATTTGATTATTGTTTAATTTAAAATCCTTGAGCGTACATTGGCTAAATCGTTCTTATGGTGCGTGTATGTCGGACACAAGTTAGCTATAGCTCATTTTGATACACGTATTTGTTTTTAGTTCGATGCTGGTGCTCGACTGACCTAGCTGAAGAGAATATTTGGTACGTATTTTATTTAAGAATTATGTTCTAAATATTTACAAGTGTTTTTATATCTTGTGTGATAGTGTTCGGATTAAAGCCTTTTACTCGTCTCCTCATGTGCAATACCATTTTTATGCTCAATTAATTAACTATTGTTGTAATCCGTGAATTGTTTCGCAGTGGTATGCATTGTTGTGGTTGTTGTTGCAGTGCCACTAGGAAAGAGTGTAAGAGAAGAACAGGTGGCGCAGAGCGGCCAGAATGAGGAAAGAGAAATGGAAAAAAATAGTAGGAGCGCATTGCCCATGATAAATGGGGAAAAAAGGCGCATTGCGCATGATTTGGTCGGTTGTAGGTGATTGGGGTTGTTTGGGATCGGGGGACAGAAACCGATTTTAATAAGAAGTTCAAGAAAACTCGCGTATGCAAATCCCTCCAACCGAGCCAACCTTACAGTTTCCAATAAGAGTATGTCAGGATTTCGAAGTCAAGAGAGACAGCAACGCTTCGTACTCCACCCTGTGACGTCACCATTCCGTCACCCAAGCTTGGCGCTGCGACGAGGAAGGGCAATGAGATCGAATAGTTGCTGAACAACCTTCACGGTGACTTCGAACTGATTCGGAAACTTTATTTGGAGTATCTAATCAAGGTCGACAAGCTTCTTGAATACTGTGACAGCCAGGAGTTGATTGAGTAGGTTAATCCTCACAAGGAACAAATAGATTCTTTATTTTTGCGAATCAAGGAAAAATAACAACAGAACTTCTACCCAGGCGTGATTTGGAAGCCTTTGATGGTTCTGACGTGACAAGGTTCAACGTGTTTTTGCGAATGTTCGATAAAATAATCGAAACGAGATTTTTCGATCCTTTGGATAGACTGGTTTACTTAGAACAGTTTTCAACGGGTGAAGTTCAGAAGCTGGTTAAAAGTTGCTTTAATGATGACCCCGAAGTTGCTTACCGGCAGGACAGAATCTTGCTACGTGAAAAATTGGGAAATAAATTCAAGATTGCACATGCCTACATAGAACGTCTGAATAGTTGGCCTAAGATAAAGGGCGAGGACGCTGAAACATTACAAGATAGTTCCATATGCCTGATTCGGCGCCAAAATTTGAAATCGGATTCTCGAACCAATCCGCTGAGCAGTCCGAAAGAAACAATGAATATTATTCCAGGAGTTGCCTTACAAGATCAAGGTACAGTGGCGTCGTCTGACCAATCAGAAACAGAATTAAGAGCTCTCAGAACGTAGATTTTGGCGATATTGTTCCTTTCGCTCATGAAGAGGTGGCTCATCTGAAGCAGCCTCTGTTCGGACAGATTGCCGATCCCTAATCAGCGACGAAGGAGAAAGACGAGGTTAATAAAACTAAAGTTTTCGCCATGACTTTGGAAGACTGGATGTCCGGGTTTTCTGCTATTTGAACGGAAGTTTTGATGATTTAGGACATTTTCCCTCTTTATGGTAGCAAATTAAGGTCAATTCCAATTTGTTTACGAAGCCGTCATCAAACTGCCTTTTTTCTAAACACGAATATCCTACTTTGGAAATATCGAGAGTCTGCCTTACTGCCTTATTTGCAAGATGTACCATTCGCTTTCGTGAACGTCGACGTTAGCGTTTTAGTAGGCATGAACTCGCCTGGCCCTGTTACGAAGGTGTCTATGGTGGAGGTAAGTGGGGACAACAATTTGCGTCACTTCACTGGCTTGGTTGGGCGTTCAATGGACCAGTTAGCACATGTACGCGGGAAATGCATTGCAAGCGGTCGAAGTTGAATGTTTTTGACCTCGATAGCTCCGTTTCGTACGATCGCTATGCGCCGGACAAACGGCCATCATCGTCGGTCGAGGACGAGAAGTGGCTTGAAAAGATTCTCATAGAAGTTCCTGCACTCCAACTTGATGACGTGGAGATTAGAAATGAAAGCAAAGACTTAGTTTTACTTGTGGACCACGACTTGCTCCGTAACAACTGACCTGAGATTGCCAATGAAAGAAAGCGTTCAGGAAGAATCTCGAGATATTGATATTATTCAGTCAGCCACTCTGGCATATGTCCAATAACGAAGATGATTCTTTTATGAACCCCCGATGAGCTTGTTTGATGTATAAATTTGTAGTAGCTCAAATTTTAGGGCAGTCTTGACTATAAAGCCTTTATAGGAGCCATTTTTTTGCTAAATCGTTCTTATGGTGCGTGTATATCGCACACCACTCAGTTGTACTTCATTTTAATCCGCGTACTTGTTTTCAGTTCGATGCTGGCTCTCGACTTATGTAGCTGAAGAGAATATTTGGTACGTGTTTTAATTAGGGATTATGTTTTGAATATTTACAAGCGTTTTTAGATCTTGTGTGTTCGTGTGCGAATTAAACTATTTTACTTGTCTACTCGTGTGCAATACCATTTTTATAGGCAATTATGATACTATTATTGTTGTTTGTTTTAATAATTTTAATAAGAAGTTCAAGAAAAGTTGCGTATCCAAATCTCTCGAACCGAACAAACTTTACAATGACATCATTTCTATACGAGTGTTAGTAACATGATGATTGGTCATCTTGTGTCGATATATCGAGCTTCGTTTGCAGTCGTAAGAGGCGACGTGTTAATGAGTTAGCCAGTATCAATGCTATACAATATTACTATATGACTGACGCTTGAGGTTATGGTGCAGTCAGCTGTTGCAAGCAACGTCCCGAAAGCCCCATGCATTAGTTCGAAACGATAATTTGCTCAGAAATTTGGGTAGAGTTATTTTTTAATCTAAATAGTTTTTCAGTGGTGCTCAGCTTCATAACGAATCTGAGTTCTATATATAACATCACGCCATTATTGTAACGCTTCTGACTAAAATTGAGCAGGTGAAAGATTTGAGAAACAGGTGCAGTTCTGTGTTTTCTTGAATCAAAATATTGGTTTGCTGAATTATATGATCGCACATTTCTATTAGATCAAAGCGTTTGACGATGATGTTGAGCAAGATCGTTCATTGCTTCAAGACCAACATGACGAACAAAAACAATCGGTTCACGATTATAACCTTAGTGTCAATGTCAAGCTAAATTGTAAAACTGATATCCTCATTATTTTGTTCCGATTTCGTGCTGTTTTCTTAACAAAAAACTAATGAAAATAGGCTGTCCTCGATACATGGAATATTAGGAATCGAGAAACCCTTCAGTTCATATCGAAAACGGTGACCTGAAGTTGTACGCTGGAAATAAGATCGTTTTTGTTCAGTTACATGTAGTATGACAATGCTGCATGTACTATTACAGGGGTCTCCAAAATATGGCACGCGGGCCACATCCGGCCCGCCTCATAATTTCATCCGGCCCGCCGGACGAAATCGTGAAATGAATAAATAATTATTTTATTAATTGCATCGCATAATTATTCAAAGCTGGGGCCTGCTGACTGGTGGCGCTCAGCCCGAGTCAGTTTTCCTCTCTCTCGATAGTGTGACGTACAGATACTAATACTGGTATAAGGTATGTGTTGTGCTTTACAACCAATCACTGGCAATCAGTTGTGTATGACTGTATCTTGTGGGGATGGAGGCCGAGTGGGGCTTCGCTGCTTCCGTTTCAGGGATCACAGCTCTTCCATAATCCATTTGACTGCAATGGTGAAAATCTTCCAACTCAATTTCAAATGAAAATTATTGATCTCCGGGCAGATGATAGACTGAAAGATTAGTGTAGAGAAGGAAATCGGATTGAGTTTTATAAATTCCTACAGCCAGATCATGCAGTTTCCAATTTTGATACAGTTTGCTTGCAGTTTAGTTCCATTTTTGGTTCAACATACTTGTATGAACAAACATTTCCCAAAATGCAGTGTGTGAAATCTAAATGTCGAGCAACTATGTATGATGATCACTTGAAATCAATTCTTACAATTGACTCATCTAATCTGGAACCGGATTTTAATGAATTTTTTAAGTCAAAACGACAGCATCATTCAACAGGCATAAAGACAGGCATCTATTTAGTTTACCCCGATTTTTTTCCAAAAAGATACGTTTTAACATTTCTATGTTTATACTTTAATATTTGAGTAAATAAAATTACTGGCACTGATTATTTATTACTTTGGCCCGCGTATATATGGGAAATATATAATGTGGCCCGCACATTGAAAAGTTTGGAGACCCCTGACCTAAAGCATCTCTGTTGCTTATAATACTGGTGTACGCAACAATGGTTTTGCGACCATTCATTTGCGTGAATGTCGAATTTTTGTTAATTCTTGCTTATGAAAATATTGCGCTATGGATTTAATTCCTCTCATCAGTTTGTTCGAAATTAAATCGTTTTTTTTCTTTAACAAATAAAAAAAAGTAATACGCGGTAAATTAAACGTGAAACGGCGGTACGTATTGTGTTCTGGCATGTCACAATTGGTCTCGACTAATCGTGTCTCATAACGTTTCTATTTTCCATTTGTAAGTTCTGAAATCCACTTTATCGAGGGTGATTCTATCTGGCAGGAATATGGCGGGCGCGGCCAGCATCGGGCTGGACCTGGGCGCAGGCAAGTGCTGTGTTGCCAGCGTGCGCGCTGGAGCGGTGACGGTGTTGCCAAGCGCTCACGGCGACAAGACCACTCCGAGTTTTGTTGCCTTCACCGACTCCCGCAGCCTCGTGGGCAGCGATGCCAGAGACCAGGCGGCGCTCAACGCCACCAACACCGTCTATGGCGTCAAGACCGTCATAGGCAGGAGATTTGACACGAATCAGAAAAGAGAGCCGTTCTATTCCAATTACATTGGCACAAAATCCGAAACGCGAACATATTCAGATGAAGAGGAGTTAATAGTGCTGCCTTATCTTCCCGAATTTTCATCAACCGTGGACGGTTCGCCTGTCTTTGAAGTGGAGTACAGGAATGAAAAGGTAAGGCTACGCCCTGAGGAAATAACAGCTTTGCTGATCGCCAAGATGAAGTCCGACGCAGAAGATCACTTAGGCGGCCAAGTCACAAACGCAGTAATTACCGTGCCCGTAAATTTCGGCAACGCGCAGCGACAAGCCACTCTCGATGCGGCCAGCATCGCCGGCCTTGGAAACGTCAGGCTGATCAACTCGACCACCGCCGCTGCCATCGCTTATTGGGACCACAAACCCAGCGAGAAAGATTGCATAGCTGTCGTTGATTTCGGTGCAAATTCTCTGAACCTATCAATTGTTTCAATGGATAATGGGGCACTAGAAGTTCTTGAAGCTTTCGGTGGCTTAACGGTTGGTGGAAACTTCATAGACATGTGCATGATGCAAGCCGTCATCAAAAAGTTTAAAGACCAACACCACCAATCATTTGAGGCGTCCCCGAAAGCACTCATGAGAATGAGGACAGCCACGGAGAAGATGAAGCACAATCTAACTCTCCTAACTTCTTCCGTGATACAAGTAGACTCAATATATAACGACATTGATTTCACCAGCACATTTACCAGGAGAGAAATGGAGGTTGCATGCCAGAACCAGTTATCAAGTCTCAAGAATACGTTGCATCAATTGACCCAGTCAAAAAGTTGGACTAAAGTTCAAACAGTTGTGCTTGTGGGAGGCTCAACGCGTATTCCTGCCGTAGAAAAACTGATTACCAAAACACTAGGAAAACCACTGGATAATTCGCTCAATAAAGACGAAGCGCTTGCCTGTGGCGCTGCCCTCCGAGCTGCCGAGTTCTCCAGTTCAACAACTCGAAAGGTGAAGGAGATTTTGACGCAGGTGTATCTGGTGCGAGGCAGGTTTGAAATCGGGCAGAATTTTTGATTCGGGAGAATGCATTCCCGCCGATTTCTGTTTACGAATGTCAAATGATATCTGGGATCACCCAAATGGGTTAAGACTGTATGAGAACATACCTACGCTGGTAGGGAAAAAGTTACGCCTCTTCGAACTGACAACACAACGATTAAGACAGCTCGGCCTTTCGACGACATCGGGTTTTCTCTTGTTTTCGATTGATGAAAGCGGAGTTCTTCGCATAGAACACATTATTAACGGCCACACAGTAGACATACCAATCCGAAAGCTTTCATCCGACGCGAATGGTATGCAAGCATCTTTGGATCGCCATAGAGTATTCTTGGACGACGTAAGTAGATTAAAAGACGATGAAGATGCAATGAACGATCTTGAAACTTTCTGCATCGACCAACAGGAAAAGCTCAGAGAGAAGTTCGGAAATGATTCTGCTGCTTTCAAGTTGTGTGAAGAAATTTTGACCTGGCTTGAAGATACACCACAAGCAACGAAGCAACAATGCAGTGAGAAGAAAAAAGATTTGGAGCACAAAATTGATATTGATATTGACGACAAGAAGCTGAAACATCAACCCAAATATTGCAAATCAAATCACCTTGATGATGATGCTCATCGTCTAAGTGATAATGTGAATCACTTTGTTGACGCTGCACATAGCTGTAGTGATGCTGTAAACTATCAAGTTCATGTTTCACATAACACTGTTGATTCACCACATCGTCTTGATCACGCTGCAAATCCCCCTAGCAACGCTGCAAATTGCCCCGTTCAGGCTGCACATCTCTCAGATCATTTTGTATCTGAAACTAGTAATGTTACACATTACCCAAGTAATGTTGAACATCAGCCAGGTAGTTCAATACATCGCCCTGGTCGTGCAGTTGCTTCCACCACCGGTGAGACAATTACACAAACATCCAAGCGTGCGGCATTCACCAGGAGTGGATATATGGAACATTATGCCTCATCCGAGCAATGGACGAGTCCGCAGGTTTCAAATGAGATGTTTGCGAGCCAAACCTATTTGACTGCACAAACTCCGGAACCTGTATCAGGACACGGGGGTTCCAATGCCAATTCGTGGTCTCGACCTTTGAAGGGAACCACATCAGTCGATTATGAGGTCGGTACATCAAACAAGAATAGTTTGATGCAGGCTAAGCATGCGTACAATGGAACCTCGAGGAAAGAAGTTTATGGGCGAAAGCGCTCAGAGAAAATCACGCAACCTTACCATAACGATCTTTATTCTCAGGACATTCCTTCTGATTTGCAACATCCTAGTCATTCGGGCGATAACAGTTGAACATCCGACTCACAGAAATCAAAGGGATGGTTCAAAAAATTCTGCTTGACGTGTGCGAGAGCTAGATTCTTTATTTGTAAACTGAAAAAAGCTGACCCGCGGCAAGAGAAGAGTCAAATGTCCAATCTGTGGGGACGTAAATCAGAGTTCATGACAAGAAATGGACATATTTTCCTAATACTAGGAATTTAAGATTATTGATTTAGCTCAGAGAGCACTGGATCTGAACAATTGTTGGTCGAGATAAACAGCTCCCTGTGTCAGTGTTATACGCCCATGAGTATCCTCCACCTCAGTTGCGCTACACTTCTCTGTATTAATTGGGACATTAGTGTTGCCATATTGAAAACCTAAACTATTTAATTTCTAATTGCTCCAGTCAATTGCATGTATTTGGAATCATAGCAAATGCTGTAAATAATTATTGATTGTTCTTGAAGGGTTTTTGCTGTGTTTTGATAATTTAATATTAGGTTATTTTGTGAGATTTCTTGATTAAAGTTTCAAATGTGAAGGGTTGCTGTTATTTGATGCCCTGCCATCCAGATCGACAAGACTACTTACCATCTATAGTAAAATATGTCTATCCATAACTAGTAAAATTTGCGTGCTGGCTGCTGCTGGGACTTGGAAGCTGAAGGCGTGTGCCTCTGTAGCGTAGTGGTTAGAGCGCCCCTGTAGCGTAGTGTTAGCGGCGCCGAGATGTGATGAGCTAGTCGTGGGTTCAAACCTCGGGAAGCACAGTTAATTTCCAGATGTCACTTGTGGACGGCGCGATGTCCCTTAACGATTTGTGAGTATGGATTACCTAGGGTGATCTTAAGACTTGAAGTGTGATCCTTAAGTAAAATATCGTCCTTAAATAAACGTCCCTGCACGCAAAAATATCGTGTATCTTAATTAGTCCTATAGTTCGATTTCGCACTTAGTATATCTCTGTCTTGCTGAATCTAACCCAAAGCTTCAACCAAATTTATGACAATCATCGATATTTGTTTATTTTAATATGTTGTTGTGCTTGCGTAGGATTGCGTGAAGTAACGACATTCTTTGGTGGCCAAGGAATCAAACCTGCTGCTGATCCAATTTAACCTCAATACAGCGTATATACTCGCATATCCCATCCCATAGGACTGTTTGTATTACCAGAGCCGTTAATATTATTTCCGGGCCAATTCATTGGTTATACCGAAGCATACAGAGAACAATAATTAGTGTATAAAGCTGTTCACTTGGTTGAAGGCGGATAATTTTCACGAAAATTGGTAAATGTATAGCCGTCTACAATTCAGCTAAGTTGCCCCTCAACCCAAGTTTATTTTCTTACTTTCTGTTTTAGTAACACGGACCTAGTTTGACATTTATTAGAATAATTCTAATTGTCAAACTTATTCAATGGATTGTCGCTTATTGTTCAGCCTGTTTCCCACTAATTGATTCAGTAAATAGTGAGAGAAATCCTTCAAGTGTTTCATTTTCCGATATGATAATGACACAATTCGTAAGTCGTTATCCCAGTTAGATCAAACGTCTCGTATGCCTGAAGTGACATTCGAATCACATGGTAGAGCCGAGCATTAGGCACGAGTTGGTGACTAAAAAAAGCGAGCTAAGAAAAACGTGGTAATAAGCACTATCTAGCATTAAAGTCCTAAACACGATTACGAGTTAAACCTTTGAAAAAATCAAATTCCTGTGCTATATTTGCGGATTGTTTGACTTACTTTTGTATTAAAATCAAGGCTAAAGCTTGGATGACTTCACAATGTAGATCGCAAGATAAGGTTACGATATATACTAGTTGTCTCGACCATAATAAGATTCCCAAAATTCGTAAAATAAACGTCCTTGAATCGATTGAACGACGAACATTATGTGAGACATAGTTTGTTTCTTTGGATTTCAGTTTAAATAAGTTTCAACAATTATTTTTCCAAAAAATTGAATTTAGGTCAAGTTCACCCTCCAATACAGTGAAGAAATTTACTCTAGAACAAATTAGGCGAAAAATCGACATTTATCGTTTGTCTCATCGAATGACGGTCAATCTTCGATGTCCAATGAATGATTAATTAACAATAATCATCATTAAAACTTTAAATCAACTCGTGTCTGAAATTACCTGCCCGAGCCTGGTGGCTGAGACCTCACCAGTCAGATGTTGAGCAGCTGGTGAGGGTATCAGACGAAATAGTGACTAATAATAATAATAATTGATTTAAGTTTTTAACTCGTAATCATCTACTAGCTGACGTGGTATTTGATGTTACGGCGTGCACCCATGACTACGTCTATCTGTAAAATTCATATATCGCTACCTCGCTCCCACAACCACCGCAAACTGACCGAAAAGGAAGTCGGCACAGTCATGCCGCTGCTTCCAACAACGGCGCTGCACTTCTACCATCGATGGCTGTCACACGACCTCAGCCTGTTGGAAATTTCCGAATGTCTGAGGCGGGAAATTGTGAAAGTTCTTTTTCTCCATACCTATTGATAGGAGTGGGTTTGTTATTAGAGTTGTTGGCAGATAGACTTGGTGCTGGAAACGTATTGCTCCGGCAGGAGCCTGTGTAAAGCCATCCCATCGGAAACTTCCAATCTTAAGTGTGAGTGACCACTCTTTGGTAATTGTTTTTTCCTATTTATCTACGAAACGCGTGTGCGCAGTTTTATTAATGAGAAGGCCGACTCCAATATCCTATAATACCCAACATTACGTTGACCTGAACTTTACTTGAACGAGGCGTCAAAGGTAGTTATTAACATGAAACTGCTTCTATCATTGAGAACAATTGTTGGTATGTATTTCACCAATACTCCAGTGAGTTGACACAATTCGTGTATTTTTGGTTACTAACCTGTATTCTATGTAAGGCAATTAACTGAATAGCTATAGAGCGTTGGTAGCAACGAAGAAAGCTACGCCGGTACGTGATCGGTAACCATGTTCTTCCTAACTAATGTAATTTTAGCGCGACACCTTTTTACGGACACAGCAGAATTTGGTAAGATTCAAGGAGTAAATTAAGGGCTTTCTAAAATATTGATGAAAACTGCTTCTTTAGGTTTAAAAATATTTATATACATGGTAAACCCTTGAAAGGGCATTCTTCGACGGGGGAAATGCTTATCATGAATCTTAGCGATGAGAGGAAGATAACCTGGGGCCATATTTTCAAGAAAGGTTAGGAGTTCTTTAAGTCTTGTCAGCCAATCGTGTCCGGCCTCTCAAGCAACGTCCACCTATCAGACGAGAAAATTATGCGTAAGTAATTACGCATACTTCACAGACTACAGCGAGTTTCGAAGGTACGGCACCAGGGGCTGCAATTGCTTGCAGTTCCAAGGTGCGTTTCAGCGGAGCTGGTACTACATATAAGCGCTCAGTTTTGTCATGGAATTTTGCCTTATGTTTGGGAGTCGTCTGTGATTCCTCCATCACGTTCGCATATAAAGTCTTCTAATTGAAAATACTTTAAGTATTTCCAATATGTATTCATATTGATCTCATAATTTTGTTTGAGGTGTACCCACAAATTTTTAAATAGCTCGCGTCAGTATGACATGGATAAAATGTTAATGAAACATTTAATACAGTGCTACGAGACAAACCTAAATTGAAAATTGTGTTCCTAACGCAGGTATCCGTCCATACGGTATCAATCATTTATCAGTATTTGACGCTAAATAATAATTTTAAAGCTTGAAACGAAATGAGATGAATTCTAATCATTTAAGATAAGCAAGTGCATCGTGAAATTGCTGATAATTACTTTTATTTGTTCCTTCGATAGTATTAGTCCATAATTGATGAATTCTTATTGAGATTCATTCAGTAATTTGAAGCCTAGTGGTAGGCAGAATTACGTCGAGCAATTTAATAGTGTCCTTAGTTCTGCTTGTTGCTGACATATTGCAGGGCTCGATGCATAGACTTGATAAATTTACATATAAAATAACCTCGCGCTATTATATGGCATCTAGACTTGCAAGTTTAACGTATAGGATTCTAGGCTGATTGATTAGCATTGAATTTGAATAAAACTTGCAAAAAATTGTGAGCACTTCATTTACTTGGAATTTTTTGAGCAAAATCATTATCCTCGAATTGAGCAAATTTCCAACGAAGTTTTGGAATGCGCTTTATATCGCATTTATTATTACTGCGCAAGAGTTGCAAACTGGTGCGGTCATTTCATGACGTAACATGTTATCTGTTACACAGAAATATTTAGTTCTCCAATCACAATGACAAGACAATCTATGCAATTTTCCGATGATACTAAAATGAGAAAATGTAGAATATTTACCCATAAAAGCAAAATATTGCGAGCTATAATATATACGTTTTAATTACAGTTAGCCGTGACGCCTTCAAGATGGCCACAAATAATGACTACGCAATCGGCATCGACTTGGGCACGAGTAACTCGTGCGTGGGGGTCGTCAGGAACGGGCGCGTTGAGATCATCACCGATGAGCGAGGTAGTCGCCTCACGCCGTCGTTTGTGGCGTTCACTGACGAGGAACGACTTATTGGTGAGTCGGCCAAGCTTCAGCGTACCATGAATCCTGCCAACACCGTTTACGAAGTGAAGAGACTCATCGGTCGTAAGTTCAGCGATGAAGCAGTGCGGACGAAACTCGCTCACTGGCCATACCGCGTCGTCAACGTCAGCGACAACCCCAAAATCTGCGTTAAATATCTCGAAGAGGAAAAATTTTTCACCCCAGAAGAGATTTCAGCGATGGTGCTGTCCAAAATGAAAAACGTCGCAGAAAAATTTCTTGGATGTGAAGTTAGTAGAGCGGTTATTACTGTACCAGCATACTTTACCGACTCGCAACGACAAGCTACCATTGATGCCGGTACCATTGCGGGTCTCCAGGTGCTGAAAATTGTCAACGAACCAACCGCTGCCGCCATTGCGTACGGGGAAGAGACCATGACCGCCTCTGAGACTAACATTCTGGTCTTCGACTTCGGCGGCGGGACTTTCGATGCAGCGGTTCTGAAAATGAAGAAAGGAAACTACGAAGTAAAGTCTGTTGAAGGGAATAGCCAGCTTGGGGGAGGGGACATAGACTCTCGCATTGCTAAATTTTTGATAGATAAATTCGAGGAAAAAACGGGACTGGATGTGTCAAATGATATAAAAGTTCAAGCAAAAATTGCCAAAGCTGCCGAACAGATTAAGATCAATTTGTCAGTTTGTGCGAAGGATGAAGTTCATATTGAGTGCTTGAGTCAAGGGCAAGATCTCAATTTTGCTTTTAGCCGATGCAGGTTCGAATTACTTTGCGCAGATATTTTTGCAGAAATTATGCTGTATGTGGACAGAGCGATTTCCTATGCTGGGCTGACAATCGACGAAATTCACCAAGTAGTCATGGTCGGCGGTTCGAGTTTGATTCCCAAGCTTAGAAAAATGCTAGAAGAAAAATTCCCAAACAAGGAAATCAAAAGGACGATCAACCCCGCGGAAGCTGTCGCGTATGGAGCAGCTGTCCAGGCAGCCATGCTCAACAACGACCGAAGTGTAGAAGAGATTCAGCTGACAGATGTAACCCCGCAGTCACTTGGTGTGGATCTTATTGGTGATAAAATGAGCACTATCATCAAACAAAATTCTAAGATACCAGTCGAATGCACTAGGAATTACACGACTGCTGACGATTATCAAAAAGCCATAGCGATCAAAGTTTATGAAGGCGAAAACCCAGTTGCCTCGAGGAACAATTTGTTGGGGGAGTTCAAAGTTGAAGGAATCGAATTCGCCCTGGCTGAGGTACCCTCAATCGATGTAACTTTTTCTGTAGACAAGAATGGAATATTGAGTGCAACTGGCGTGGACCGGAAGACAGGAGGCCGAGGTCAAATTACCATCTCCGTCAATAAAGGACGTCTCAAAGAAGAGGACATTGAGAGAATGATTGTAGAAATGAAAAACATGGAAAAGCTAGAGATTGAAAGCAGTGCTTTGACGAAGGTTTCGGCTTCCTTGGCGATAAAAGAAAGGTCTTCTTGAAAGACAATGCAAGCTTTTAACGATAACACCTGGATGTTGCGATGCAATAATGAGGTTGTGCGAAGAGGTCGAAGCTTGGTTCATGGATCACGATTATGCAACCAAGGCGGAGTAAGATGAGGAACAGAAGTTCATCAAGACTTTCTCTGAACTCTTGGCTGAGTTTACCTCCTAATTACTCTTTTGCATCTTTGAAGCAGCATATCAAATGCTAAAACGGTTAGAAGTTTGTTTATAGTTTGTAGCCCTGCTATTTTGCAGTCTCCGTTTGCACTAAGCAGTAATTCAATTGTAACCTGTTCTAATAAAGTTGCCTCGCAATACCAAATTGTTTTGTGCCATTATCTGCCTCATTACGGTTTTTTACGAGATTTTATGTCCCTTTGTTTTACCTTTCTTGGCAGGACTAGTCCAATGGCTAGGTGTTCAACGATAGCCGTGCAATAGTCGAAGATTCTTGAAAATCTGCCTAGTTTTTGTAACGCGCAGACCGTAACTGAGATTTTAAATCGGCATGAGACAGTACGACTAGCGGCCATGGACTTCGTTTGCATTCCAGGTAAGCAGGCTCGTGCATCAGATACAGTATGATAATGGTATGTTGACCAGTACCGGGATTGTCAGAGACCATGCTGCAATTCGATTTTTCTGAGAGAATGAGTGGACATCGGCACCCACGTCTGACTTTGCTAGAACTTTGGCAAGAGTAAAATTGCGACATTGTTCCATGATTTCTGGCCGGTTTGCCGGGAACTGATGGCTCTTCGTTAAGTGATCGTGTTAGTTCGATTACTGCGATTTATGTGGTCTCGGTCAAATTTGTTAGGAAAATTCAGAAAAAGGGAGCTACGTTCTAATTCTGTTGGAAATTGCTTTGGAATAAAAATTGATTCAAGGTTCCAATTCAACTTGGAAGCCGTGCACTACGACGCTGTTTCAGCATTCAACTAATAACGTTGCGGTACTCGCCAGTATATAGCAAGAAGATTTAGCGAATGAAAAGTATAAACGCTCGTTTAATTGGTTTTGTTCATTAGGCATTTTTTCCTAAACATGTTGCTGTATGTTATTAGGATTCCTTGCATCAATCTCTATATCTAACCTGGAAGGATTTCTATCCTGGAAGGATTTCTATCCTGGAAGGATTTCTATCCTGGAAGGATTCCTATCCTTAAACTTCAGATGATTGCGATATTCACTTGATTAGCAATTCACTTGTTGAACAGAGAGCTTTGCATATACTGCTTACTATTGCATTATTATATCTCCACGAGATAGTCTTCTCAGTTTTGGTGTCACTAAAAATAAAGCGAAGGTCTCAATATAAATATTATAAAATGAACTCTCATTCGCGATACTTTAATGCATTTTGAAGAAGAGAAAAATAATGCATGTTTATTTATACACTGAATGGATGTGACGTACAAAAATCTAATGTGAAAATTGGTATGCGAATTGCAGCTTAGCTGTATGTTATAGAGTCTCATTTATTGTTATTGTTCTGGTGAAAGCATTGATGATTGAAAATATTTTTTGAATCCAAAACCTAGCAAACCTGTTAAAAGTTTAAACAGATTCGGGACCTTGCTGAATTACGCAGTAGCTTAGCCATCTAGACATACAGTAGTGAAGTCACATATGCGACATGCATGCTCAGTATTGGGGCCACCATTATTCACTGTGGACGAAAATTGTTGACGTGAGCATAATCATTCTCAGCTCAACATTGAGCAAAATTTAAGAACCGCAGTTTCGGCGTAGCAATCAAATTTTGAGAAGGCTCTTGCAAAGCAGGCTCATTAAGCCGTTATTAATTCACGGAAAAATGACCGTGTTTTGTTTCACGCCAACGTCTAGGAATACGCTTTAATATCATTTGTCTCCTGCCATTTTCTTAATTCAAATCAATTAAAACAAAATTATTTCTGTATTCGTGTCATAAACCCGGTGTCGTTTGATGTTAATGATTTCGATCCATTTAAATATTTATTAGTATTTAATGTTTGTGCAATAAAGTTGAAGAATAATTTTTCTATGCTGCTTGGTAGCCCTTTACGAACAGGATAGGCACGTAAATTCTTGCTGCATCTCAGTGCGTCAAGGACGAGCCAAAAAAGACAATTTGAAATCACTGGCTATGATGCTGTATTTTATTCAGTACTCATCGTAGAGGCGGTAACTTGTTAGGCTTAGCTCGAAATTGGTAATAATCTTCTTCTATTTCTATTTCTTTCTATCCATTTCTATGTCATTTCTATTTCTTTCTATCTATTTCTATGTATTTCTATTTCTTTCCATCTATTTCTATGTCATTTTTATTCATTTCTATCTATTTCTGTGTCTATTTCTTCTTCTATTTCTTTCTATCTATTTCTATGTCAGAAGTCAAATGACGGAGGGACGAGGCAAGGACTCAGGAAAACTACTTACTTTGAATATCCACGATGAAATATTTAAACAACAAATTTTTGTGTTTGAATAACCCTATACATGATAATAACGGAGTGATGTCATCAATATAAATCGTTTGAAATCAGGTTGTTTGAAAGCAATATATAAAATTACTGCCAGCATCATATGGATTTGGACACAATGGTAAAGATAGTCAGTATTTTGTCAGCATAATCCGGGTTGTAACACTAGTTTTAGACAAGTGGCGTGGATCAGACTAGAGTTCATCATTATTCATATCACTGAATCAAAATTCGGGGACCGCCTAGGCTACGGTCGAAGAGTCGCAACACTCGGCGCAGTTATTCTGGGTCTGCCTGACCAACCGATCATAATCAGCTTCTGGTTAGAATCTCCTTAACGTCTTTATTATACGTGAATAAAATGTTCGTATATCATAAATTCATTGGCAAATCAATCGATATTTCTTCTTTCATTCAATAAAATTAACAATGTATCGGAACCGTAGTAATTCTAAAACTAATGCGAGAAATAACGGCAACTAAATAAGAACCTGAATTTCTTCATAATATTTGATAATGATAAGAATATTAATTTTTTGATTGAATGCATCACAAGCTCCGTTGTTTTTCTCAAATGTGAATAATTAATATGCATCTATAGAATGGATGTAATTGTCATATACGGGACGTTTTCTTCAGAGTCAGTGACTTTCCAAATTTAGCTACAGCTACGGCCGCGGTGTCATTCATGTGCGCCATGTAGCTACATCTGTTGGGAAGCCACGGACGCCATTACGGAACTATCGGATCAAGTCTACATCTGTTTACATGATTTCAAAATGCCTCCACCTGCTAGAATGCCAAAGTGTGTGCGTTTCAAATCAGTTGGCATTCATAGCCAATTCAGTGAAGTAAGTGAATGGTGAAAACATTATCAATGATGGAACGGCGCGGGATTGTGTTTCGGCCTTGAAAGATGACCGAGCAAGAATTCATGATGAGCGAAGTGATTGGAATTCAATCATTATCGATGATCTGATTTAAAAAGTTGTCTTTGATGTGAAAAATAAAGATGATTTCCTCCTCAGCTGAAAAGTTTCGTGCTGACTTAAGAAGGGCACGTTGTTACGAAATTTTCAAATCAGGGAGCGAGCTTCTTAGACGATGGCATACAAAAGCAGGACCCAAGATGTGATAAATGATTCAATATTTGATGGAGTAGTAGCATATAATAATTATGTAGAGTGGAGAATAACCATTCAAGTGCATAAATTATATTTTGGAAAAAAACTTGCCTGTTTTTGATGCCAAGAAGTACTTTAAAAACACATCTCATTGAATCGCATCATATATGTGAAAGAGCAAACTAATGTCAAATATATCATAATTCAGGAAAGAAATGTTTACCGCGTGCATATAATTAATAGTCATTAATTGATCTGAATTCGAGTTCACGGTTGGCATACAAAAAAGTCATGATGGCTAACATTTAAATTCCTGCGTAAAACGCTAAATTATATTATTAACAATATTGAATATTAACTAGTAAAAATATAGAAATAATAAAATTATCAGTTAAGAAAGTTTCAAGAATACTGTTGAATGCCGTAAACGTATAGGAGAAAGTTGTGACAGTTAGTAGTGTGTAAAAAATGAACTTCAATAGGCATTTCACAGACTACCCATGCATAGACAATATGGGTAGTCTTGAATTGAAGGGGATCACGAGATGCGACTTTCACGAACCTGCACGAGCAGGATCTCAAAGTAGCTGAATGATATACATTAACTTCTCATAGAAGCGACCTCTAAACAATGGCTTGAACCAACTATTATTTCTCCATGTAATATGAGCCCCAATATATTTCCGGTGCCAGGCCGCGAGCACACAAGAAATGTTGACAATCACATATAAGATAGGACAATAAACTTCGTTGAGGACCAGAGAGTAAAATTTTCGCTTGTTTTTTTTCTATCCTGCGAATTAGACTAGTGGCAAGGTTTGGATGTTCGGAAATGAGGTTTCAGCTAATTTTAATTAAGGTACGACGTTACGAATGAAGATCATTAATTAATTATCTAGTGAAAATAACGGTTTTGAGTAAACCTCTTCTTTTTAATTGAGATTTCGAAATGACTTTAGCACAAATATAGGGTATTAAGAAACAACTGCAGAAGTATAACTTCGATAAAAAAATATTTTCTACGTCCTGACGAATCCGATATTTTGTAAGTTGACAGCTAGAGACTCACTTTTGACGATGAGAACCTCAGCTATCGAGAGTATATTGCACCAAAATCGTCATGCGGTGTATCAAAATCATCCACAATACTTCAACTTAATTAGGTGATAATCACGCTAATAAATTATATGAATCACTAGAATATGAGTAGCGATAAGAGAATCACACTTAGCATTTTACTTCACAAAAGTTGTTTTAAGTACAACACATGAAGCCAGGCGGAGAAAACTAAACTTCGGTGATAAAACTAGTAATCGAGAAGTTGATTTTTGGCTTTCAAAAAATCATCGTAACGTGACCGGTACTCAGCATATACGTTGCCTGTTCGTTTTCATCCAGTCACTACTCAGTATCCCAACAGAAGCCTAAGAATTTTTCAGGCCCATGTCGTCGAGATCTTTGTTCCTGTACTCACTAATCAAGGCTTTTAGCTCAACACAAAGAGTCTCAAATTCATTTCGAGTACCTGAAAGCTTCTCCTTCCTCTTATCATCTTCCTCGAATTTTTTGGCTTCGATGATCAATCGCTCAACTTCCTTCACCTGCAGACGGACTTTGTTGCAGCGCATGACAACCCTATACAAATTTTGATTCCTGTCATTCGCTGGAACAAGGACGACCCAAGCTCGCCTAGCACGTAAAATAGCGGCTCTATGTCCGCTCTAG